GAGGCGGCGTTAAGGTTTCTTGCGAGCGAGCGTTGCTCGGCTGCCTTGCGGTCTTCGCGAAGGATGTCGTAATCGGCGATTAGAAAGCTTGAGACCATTAGTTCCATTTTCTCGGCCGTCGCATCGTTAAGTCATACACGAACGACGACGTCTTACGACCGTGTGCACGCACAAAATTGAATTGGACAGACTTTTCGCCGCGAAGCAAGGGTACGGTCGGCTCGACGGGACGGTGAGGAAGCGGTTTTCACAGGCAAATTTTCTTCAGAAAATAAAAATCGCGAATCGGTTACTATTTTGCAAAATACAGCGAGATATGAAGAACATATTATCGCAAAAATACAGAATATATATATATAAATCTAGATTATCGATTCACGTATCTCGATATTTGCCGAGGAAGTGCGGAAATAGGGAAAGTTGCAAGTGGCGCAATGAAATTAAAATGTTTTATGGATCAATTATCAAAGTTTATTATATAGATCACGCTGAACACACTGACATATTACTTCATATCGCACTGATAACGGCATTCTGCATCAATAATCTAGCAATAAAACGCACGTAATAGGATTACGAAACTCGCACCTTACACGTTTCGCGCAGCGCTGTGTTTGCGTTACCTATGATGTGTTCGCGGAAGGAGTTACGAAAAAAAAAAACGGAGGCTTTTGATGCAAATTACTCGGCGAAACGGACCGTAAAAGCGACGCGCGCGTGGCTAGCGCAAGAAGAAAGAATAAATTAACGTCGATCGTATTTTTAAGCGGGGAGTAAAACCTGGCGTAAAACGTTCGTTATATAGGTACAGGCGACGCTGCAGGTCCCCGTCGAAAGCTCGAAGGCGCGCGCGGGCCAAGCAGATGGCAGGGAAAATGATTATGAATTATGGCAGCGCAACGGCGGCGGCGCGGTTCACTCAAACTCGGTTCCTACATTTGCGGCATAGTAATTAATGACGCTTATTACAGGCGATGTGTTTATAAGCTCCGCTGGATTTACGGGGCGATAGGTCAGCTTATTTGGAACGGCCGGCGCATACGAGCCAGGAATTGATCGAGCCAGCGTCTAATACCTCCAAAGAGAGCATTAAAACGGCACGGCGAAGACGAAAGAAATTGAATTAATCATTAAAAAGAGGATCGATTTGTGACCTCGTTGCGATTAAACGTATTTATCGCGTCATTAATAATTACTATTAATTTCAATCTGTTACGAAGAAAATCGCAAAGCGTTAGTTGAATAATCAAATGCGAACGATTCGTATGCTATTGACTTAAAATTCGTGAAATAAAAATTCTCAGATATTTCTTCATAAAATTGCAAGAGCCTTCTTTTCAATTACATAATATCTTTTCCTTGTAAAGAACTTTATCAGCTTTCCTTTAAAATATACAGTCCCAAGTATTCCATTTTATAAATTTTTAAAGAAAACTTTCGAAAGCTTTTTTGAGGGAGCGCGTTCATGTATTATATCTAAGAACGTCATAGGCAAGGTGAATTATAGATAGAAAAATATTCTGGCGTGCAGAAGTGTTCGCAAAGCATAACGCCACTTCTGACTGAAGAGATTAAGCGATATCTCACAATCTCTAGGGGAAGAATTCGAGATGAAACGGCCTGTAGGAGGAGGCTCCGACTGGTATCTCATCACTGAGTTACGGGTACAGGTGAAGTCGGGAGCGACGCGTAATCGACGGCGCGTAAACCCGGCAGAGGAACCGACCGACCGACCGACGCGGACTTGGATTCTTCTAAAAATAATACCCGTCGCCTGAACGAGAGAACGCGAACGCTGCTCCGCTGCCGACCAAACATCGTGCTGAGTAAACGAACGAACGAAGGAACGCAACGAACGAAGAACAGAGGAACGAACGAACGAGTGCAACGTGAACCTTTCGAACTTGAGGATAGAGTTCAGAGACGAATTTATTATGCGAATTGGTTTCCTCGGGGTCAAAGTGTCGTGATAGCCTGCTTTTTAGGCTGCACTTTATTAAGCTTGCTGCATGCAAAATCAAATCAATGTATATTCAAGCTTTGAATGGGGAAGGAGGAAAGGCAAATGTTGCGGAACGAGATGCGCGATAAAGGTATAGTTGAAAACATAGATTCGTTTGTAAATGTGTCGTTTCACGTGCAAAGAGGTACGTCGAATTCCGTGGTGTTAAATCGGAAATAGAAAGAGAAGAGTGTATGTGTAAAAGGGAATAAACAGAAAAAGAGAGAGAGAGAGAGAGAGAAAAGGGAAGGGGAGGGAAGGGGGGAACCGCGAGAGAAATCTGTTTATTGTAAGGGAAAAGATGTGAGTAAACACTGTTGCGCGCCTTAGGAATGCAAAACATGGGCAACTCGACTCAACCGTTATTTTAAATGTAAATACTATGTCGGCTGTTTTATCTGAATGAGCCCGGTTATCAGTCCGCAAACTTGTATATGTAAAGTAAGACGAAAACGTGCGGCGATATCTCACGAGAGAAAAATGTATCTTAATGCGGCTCCTCTCTCGCGGTTACGCCAGTCGATTTAAGTTGAAAACACGAAACGAAATACTATATATATCGTGATCGTCAACCAAGTAACAGAATTAAAATAAAAACTCTTTGATGTTTGTTAATAGAATAAACGACTTTGTCATTATTTCATCCCGATATCTTTATTTTTATCTTTCTCTAACGATCTCACTCGAGAACTTCTTTCTTATTCTAATATATCTCTAACGTAAAAAAAAATGCAAAAGAAAATAATGGATAAAAGATGAAGAAAATCGGTAGAGTGAAAAATCACGAGTTCAAAGTTCAATGTCGAATTGTACAATATATTCCATATTCGCGCGTGTGTGAAGTCTACCGCCGACACAGGCTTACAGAGGTAATAAACGAAAAATGTGTCAACCTACAAGAGGTTGTCGCTTGTCGAGCGTTTGTAAGATCGTTAGATTTCGCACGCGGAGGGCAGATACGCGGAGGCTGGCGCGTGGCGTCGCGCGCCGGAAGACGCTGCCTACCGTCGCGTCGTCGCCGTCGGTTTCGTGCCGTCGGCGCGCATCGGGGGACAATAACGCGAGGAAGGAGCCCAGGACTTTCTACTACGTAGACACGACGGTCGAGAGTTTAGTATACCACAAGCGAAGCACCGTTAGGACACTAAACTTTTATTGCGACCCGTTTTCCCTCGCCGCGCCGCGCTGGCAGGCAGGATATCGGCATCACCTTAACCCGCGAGACCAACAACGGCACGCCGTTAATCGGAAACTCTCGAGAGACGCGGCTCTCCTCCGCCGTTTAATCACATCGATTTTTCTACGGCCGCGTAAGAAAAGCGTGCGAAGCTTCGTCGAGCGAGATAAAAAAGAAGCGAGAAAGTCGCGGCAGATGTTGTTAACTCTTCGCGTAAGTAATACAACTTCGGAAAATGAGCACGTCTGTTCAATTTTTTTTTTCTTTATTTCGTTTTAGGAGAGTTATGAAGAATTGTGAATTATGCTTGGAAATATGACACCTGGCAATGTAAAAATACATTCGTCTCTGTTAGCACTCCGTTTTTAATAAAGAAACATTCTCGTTCGTAAACAAAGTACAGTTTCGATAGACGATTATAAAAAGTTATTGCATTATTTAATGTACGATATGAAGACGAGACTAAAAATATCAATGTCATTCTATTTTTACTGTTAGAAATGGAGCAAGAAAAAAAAATATATATGTATATATAATAACATGATATATAACTCACAAAATGCATTCAATACACGCTTCTAAAATATCGACAGATTCTTATTTTTGGAAAAACGCTAATATTGCCTAAAATTGTACACACAATCGACAGATGATAAAAGTTCAATTTTATAGGTAAGTCAAGGTATGAGCTCATTCGATTATTTCGTAACGAATGCAAGGAGCTCAGCGTTATTCGATCATATTCTCGGTATTGCATAGGCACGCTATTGTTTATAGTTGGCAATGCGTTAATCAGCGAGCGGCTGAAAACAGTGGGCGACGCGCTCGATATACGCGCGCGATGCACCAAAATAATCAGCCGCTCGACCGACGGAAGCGCGTCGAAGAAGAGGAGAGAAAAGAGAGAGAGAAACGGGAGCGACGAGCGAGAGAGAGATCGAAAGATAGCAGGCATCTACGTACCTATAAACACGCGCGGCACACACGCGCACACATATGCGGAGAAGGGAAGAAAGAGATGAAGAGAGAGAGAGATCGAACGAACGAACGGCAAGCAGCAGCAACAGCAGCAGCAGACATAGCCGTCGGTCGCGTAACCGCGGTACAACGACCCCCGTTGAAGCTCTCCTCTGCTCTCCGTCGAGCTCCGGCTTCGCGCCAATTACGACGACGCTCTCCTCGCGGGGAAACGCTTGTCGCGGAGCGAGGCGGACCGCGAACGAAATCGAGTCGCGGCGGGTTTCGAATCGAGAGCGAGTCGGTGCGCGGAGCTGGTTCAACCCGTGATTTTATACCCGACGCTCGTCCACGAGACGAGCGCAAAAGTGCGAGGAAGGTTCGCCTTCGCGGAAAAAGAAGAACGTTCCGACGACTGCGATCGTTCGCGGAACGCGTGTTGTTACTGCGATCATTTTCTCGCGCTGGCCGGGCTGCGATTGTTGACAAAATCTCGCTGGCCTCGCTCCGGGCTTATTGTGGGTTTTTTTTGTTTTTTTTTTCGCCGAAGCGGAATTCGTCGCGCGCTCCGATATGGAGATTACGGGTTACTCCGAGTTCCGGAGAGTACGCGCGGTAAATACATTATTCATTCATTTGGTACGATCGACGATTTGAAATCGCGGTTTCGTACGTTCCCGATTCGTGAGAATCTATTAGACCTACCGTATACCCTCCCTCTGCTTCTCTCTCTCTCTCTCTCTCTTTCTCTCTCTCGACTCCCTCTCCCTCTTTCTCCTCCTCGCGCCGTTTGTCTCTTTCTCTCTTTCATTCTCCCGTCTCTCGTTCGCCTCTCTTCTTTCTACTATCGTCTCGCTCACTCACCTGTCAGAGCTCTCGGAGCTGTCGTATCGATCCGCGCACCGCTTCTTGCCGCAGGGCCCGACGAGGGTGTCCTCGGCCATCCTAACCTGTCCCTTGAACGAGCTGCCCTGGCTGTGCCTGGCTACGGCGACGTCGCCTCCGTTGTCCGCCTTGGCAGACGACGCGGCCGCGTCCTCGGTCGCTCCTCTCGTCTCCTCCTCCCTCGTCGCGTCGGCGATGCTCGCTCGCCGCCTGCCGTCGCGATCCCCGCGGTCGTTCACTTCCGGTGCACTGTCCGCGCTCGGCGCCGAGCGTCGCGGCGGCAACGACGACGATGACGACGTGTCGTCGGCCGCCCCGTCGGTGTCCTCGACACCGACGCGCATCGCCGCGTTGTTATTATTATTACCACCGGTCATGATTTCCGCGACACCACCAGCACCACTTTTATTACTATTAATACTATTACTACTGCCACCACTATCACCGTCGCAGTCACTATCGACGCCGCCGACGCTGTCGCTGCTGCCACTGCCGTTGTTGCTATTGCTGCCGCCGCCGCTGCTGTCGTCGTCGTGGTCGTCCTCCGCCACGACGCTTCGGACTATCTCGAATCTAACATCGCCGTGATACAGACCGACACTGCCATTGCCATTGCCGTCGTTGCCATCGGCGCCGACGCCGACGCTACCGCAGGGCGCTCCGAAACCGATACCGCCGCCGCCGCCGCCGCCGCCGCCGTCGTCGCCACCACTGTCGCCGTCGCCGTTTTCCTCCTCGCCGTCGCTCGCGGTTGACCCAGTCGCGTCGACGGGCGACGGCGAATCACCACTGCCGCGATCGTTGCCGTTGTCGCAATGATTCGTCGTGAGGTGATGGCGATGAGGATTGAAGTGATGCTTACAATGATAAGGCGATTGATGATGATGGTAAGAATGACGATGATGAAGATGCTGATGATGACGCTGATGAACAACACGACGCTCGTGGTGAGAACGATGATAGTCGTCCGCTTCACACGGAGACGCAGTGGTAGAGGCGTCCTCGTGTCCGTCGACGCGCTTCGCGGACGAGGTGGCGTCCTGACCCGACGAGAGGAACGGCCCCGGAGTCACGATCGGCGCGGTGGCGTCCCCGCGTTTGTGCCGCTCCCTTGTCACGCGAGAATCACCGTCCCCCAGTCCCATCACCATCGCCACGGTCGCGTCCTCCGCCGCGGACGGACCGTCGTCTGCCATCTTGTAAACGAACGCGCGCTACTGTGATCGTGTCTCTCGTCCGTGTCCGTGTTCGTGTCCGGCAGTGGCCCCTATGGCACACACGAGCAGCACGGGCCGCCGCTGCTCCTCGCGCTACGATCCGGCAGCGCACACAGTCCTCGGATACTCGCCACTCGGCTCGGCTCGGCCGCCGCGAGCCCCACTTCGATTCCCACTCCAACGGCACGACCGCCGCCGCTGTGTATGGCGCACCTCGCCTCTCGCCGCCGCGTCGGCGCGCGCGCGCTGCCGTACCGGCCGCCCCAGTCACCCCACCCGATCCTACCCGAGCGCGACCGACGCCGCCCGAGCGCTTGCGCGCGCCGCGCGCCGCGATTCAAGGAGTCGTCACAGGCGTCACGTACGCCGTTATGTCTGGACGGTGAGTGATAGCGCGTTACCGAAGTTAAGATTATACACTTGCGACTTCTCACATGCATCGTATTCACGTTATCTCAATGTGCGATTTAAGATACGATCGCGCGATAACCTCGGAGATAGTAATTGTTTATGATAGATACGTTTATGATACGGGAAAACTCTTCGAATCTGAATGCAGCTTAAACGAGATTAATATACGATAGGTGACATCTCACGATGCTGCTGAGAAATATATCCGTCGCGATATTCGAACTTCGAAATGCCAGCATATGATCGCCTTATACATATTATTAAGATATCTGTCGTACCGACTAATGTTCCGTCCACATGATCAGCATGCATGCGCGCTGTAATTACCAACATTACCACAAGTCTGACAGTGGACATGTTGGAAAATGCGTCCGCTACAAGCGCTGGCGTCTATGCTTTATTTAGTCGGTACGACAGGTGTCTTAAGTTCTTAACCTCTGAACTCACGAACTTTAATGCTTGCAATTAATAACTCTGCTTCGCGAGGCAGATCGCCGCGTTTTTCTGCCGGTTTTCTTCCTTTTTGGCTGCGAAAACGCATCGTACAAGTACACTTTTATTAAAATTTGAAGTGAGGAGAGTATTCTAAATAAATACTTCATGTATAACCTCAGTACGTGGCGTTGACTAGCCGGTAAAATTTGAATCACGATCACTTTCAGTCAGTTATGAATGTATCATGGCGGATCGCGGAGTCGCGTTCGGATTGTTCTTCGCGTTTTTTTGCGACTGCCGCCGCCTAAAAACGAACTTCGCGCATGAAAGATCATCGTCTCGTAAAGTGTGTCTGTGTTTTTCAATTTCGTGTGTGCCTGGCATCGATCCTTCTCGCTTGTCTCGTCGGACTGTGTCGAAGCGGCAATCGATGGACAACGATCATCGTCAAGTAAATATGTATATATATATATGCATCGTCGTTCTGTAATCAACTGCATCCAATATTTACGGAAACATTGTTCTAATTTATACGTTGAATAATAATTTTTCTCGCTTATAATAGATCGATCGCTTCGTAAATTTAATTGTGCAGTCGCTGGATTTTCGATAAATTGACGTCGAAATTAAAACTTCGAGTTACAAAAAATAAATATTACGCGAAAGCAATGTCGGAAAGTTTCGAAAAATATTGGGCGAATGTTGATTATAATTTATCGTATCAAGGATAATTTATTAATATGTCGTTTGTGTGACAGTCTCATCAAATGCGCCTCGTGCGATCGTAGTTATTATTGATACAGCAATTTTTCATAAATTAATTGAATTACACGTTTGAAATGTCAATGAATATTGGAATTGGTCCTTTAATGTTTTACTAGAGATAGCTAAACAATTTTTATTTTTTCGTGGTATTCATTGATTTTTTTCGGTTTATATTAAATATAAAATATAAATATTAAAAAAACTGTGTATTTATATAATTCGTAATATAATAAATTTAAGAGATTTAGTGTAGATTGTTGACGTATCGTATTTATTTTGGCAACTGTAAAACACAAAGAATGGGCGTATAATATAGTCTGCTAAAATAGAAACCTTTTGTATCTTTATGAAAATACTTTATTTTCAATAATACTGCAAAACAAACGGTTCACATAGCACCGTAACAAATCGTGTACATCGTGGAATGTTAATCGAAAATGACCAGCAACAGTCAAGTCGTTTAAGCGTACTATGTATAAGACACTGTATGCAATATTAAGATGAAACGTGAATCTTAAATTTACGTGGAAAAATATAAATACAAAAATTTGAAGCTATATTTCATTTAAAGAATATTTCCGTTTGGATACAATTTGAAGTTCTTTATCCTTAAGTAAATAATTTCCAACAAAAAAGTTTCCTCGTCTGAAATTGCAATGAATATACAATAGATTTTTTAATTTTTAAGCTCAAAAACTTTTGATTGAATATTTTAAAAATTTTAAGAAGTTTTTATTAGTAGCATTAACAGCACGTTTATCTTATCTCTCTCGTTTGCTTAAGAAAAATAACGAAAATATCTTGTGCGTAGAGCTACTATAGTCGAAGTTAATCATTGTTCTTATACTTAAATTCTTATCTAAAAAAAAAATTTATTTTTTTAAATAATAAATTAACTAAAATACTCTAAAATTCCTTCAGCTGGCTTTCGCGAAAAACTTTCGCACGACGATACTGCTGCGTTATACATATACTTGTGTAAAAAATATACTTATCAACTCTTTGTAAACTTTTCGTTGTTTAAGAGATCTTGAATTAAAAACCGACTTATAATTGACGTCGTTGTTTTATCGATAATTTATATACATAGTGGTATATTGATGTTTATTATCACATCAATATCGCACACATACATACATATACATTTTTAGACATTAATTTTTCATATTAGATATGAGTTTAATTTTAAAACATTTTGTATTTTCGTGTAATCCCGGCAGTCAAGCCATTCCCATTTTATATAAATTTACAGAATTTTTGTATGAAGCAAATATTGGTTCAAGTTAACAGCTTTAGACGTATTGGACTAAGAGTAAAAAAGATTTAAATTTCTTAAGTTTTTTTTTTTTTTCGGCATAAAGTCGGCATGATTCAAATTGATGCTTAAACTTGAATTGAGGAAAAGGATTTGTAAATCAGTGTAAAGACAGTGTTAAAAAAAATACTATGTTAAAAATTAAGTTGAATCAAGTATTGCTCTTACAGATTTGAACATCCAGAATTAAAGTATAAACAATAGTGGAAGGACGTAACGATTTTATATGACAAAAGACAAAAAAAAATGTAAAATTACTTAGTTCAATTTTGTTATTGATTTCTAATGTTGACTCGTAATATTTACTTTATATAAGAGTTTTATACTCTGTACGAATAAAACGAGTTTAGTCCACCTTCGGAATTACATGAAAGAAGAATATTTGCTTTTACAAATGAGCCTAAAAGCTTTTTAATATAAAAGAGAAGTTTGCTTAAAAATGTCATATCCGTGCAACATTGTAGTGATATCATTATATATTACATGATATCAATATCACGCGTACAATCTCACATATGTACAAATCATCGATAAAACAGCAACGTCATGGAATTCGATCTTCAGTTTAAAATCCCCTTAAATTAGATTTCATGAGAAGCTGAAAAATTGCTAACCGCAAAATTTCGCAATTGATTTATAACATATACGGATAATATTATTCGTATGTAATATCCGTATGTACGTACGTGTAACATTGTATCGTTTTTGTTCGATGATGGCAATTATCAACTATTTCACAAAACTGTTTCATAGGTACATCGAAGACACATAACAAATTTATCACTTGTATGATCATGTCACACATGTTATTTTCTTATTTCGATCGAACCTTTTGTTATTAAGGCTTATTTAGGCGTATTAATGTCGTAAAATCAACATATCTTTCTAAATTTGACCACTTTTATCGTGTTTATCCCTCATATATTGTCGCGACGTTTCCGCTAATTCCGTCAGCAGAAAAGTTTCCGATTCGTGAGGGCTTTTCGATTCATCTTTGTTTAGGCCACTAACACTTCGAACGAGTTTACGATGACGCCTGTGCTCCTTCCTTTCGGTTTTCAATTTAGTAAATTCGTTTGCGGTATTCTCGTTGGACGATATCGACGACGAACTCGAGGTACTGGGCAGATCATCGTTCATTCCGCTACCAGTGTAGCTAACCGTTGGTTCGTAAATGGCACTCGCCCTCATCGATGGTGCGGATTCCTGTGTCCTGAGATTAAAATAAAAATTTTATGAAAATTAAAATCTCCTAATCATAACTGGAATACAAAATTTAATTTTCAAATTTCTAATCAATTTTAATTCCAAGGAAACAAATTCCATTAAAATTTAGGGCTATCAAACCAGTAAATTTTCAGGCGATTCACACTTGTGTTGTATACATAGTTGCGAATTTTCTGATGTACATTTACAAATATTGAAAACCAAAATTGATTTCGGATTTATCAGTAAATTATCAACCTTAAAATCCGCTTTTCGGCGGATTCCGTACTGCCGGCTGTCGTTGGAGGTGCTCCTCGCACGGGTGCACTCCTAGAGAATATCTCACGTTTGTAAGATTGTGCGGCACCAGGAACGTCGACGGGATCACTCGGCGGAGGCGGGCCTTGCGGAAATATACTTTGCACATGAGGCCTGCTTTCGTTCGATTGTCTTAACGATGTCAATGTCATCTGCTCGTCCACTTCCTCAATGACACCTATTCTCATAGAGCCACCTACACCTATGGAATTATCATTTTGATGAGAGATCTCAATAAAGTGCGATTTTAAATGCGTTATTTAGCGTTAAACAAACGACGCAACGTACCGGCTGGTCGTGTCTGCAACGAAGCCGTTGAATCCACGCTCGGCATCTTTCCCGAAGGTTTGACAACACTTGTGGTACCTCCGTCCGTCCTGTCATCCTTGCTAAATAATCGCTTAAGTACGTTTGTAACACTGGCTACCCTTGAAAGCGACTCACCCAAATTGCTAGGAGTCGAACCACCACTAAGATTGCGATCTCGATTACTCACTCTACTGGCACTTCTAAAAAAAGAAATTCGCAGAATTTAGAATCGTGAAAGTAAGCTATCGCTTTCACATCGATATTATGTTATAAATTATAGTATTTTCTAAAAATATTTTTTAAAAGTACAATTTTATTAGCTAATATTATGAATATCATGATTATATTATATAAAATTTGCATTACTCGTAAAATGAAAATATAATTGTACTTTCAATTCCAACAAGTTTTACTGTTCACTAAATTTTTCGTCGCGAGATATAAATAGCTACCTTATTAATCTCTCGGTGCTGTTTGTATCGCTTCTGAGTTTGCATTGAAAATAATTTTATGTGAATAAATCTAGTTCATTGAATTTAAATTTAAAAAAATATATTCCGGAAATTGAGTAATTTGCACTTACCGAGATAGCTTTCCACTCGCGGTAAAATGTATTCCCGAGGCAGCGTCATCGGCGATGTCGAAGCGGTATTTCTGATCATCCGGCGGCACCATCTCGTCAATCTTAACCGACGACGGCTGCAATTCCTGTTGCGCGGCGGACAATTGTATGCCGGCAGTCGAGTGTTCTGGGGGTTCCTCGCGAAAGGGTTGCGCCGCTGCGGTATACGGGAGTTCCACGGGAAATACTTCGTCCCAATATTGGTCACGTATGAGTTCAGGATGTTCGTGATGCATCTCGTCGACGATTAGATAGCTCACCTTGAAAGCGGAAAAAAAATATTATTTTTAAATTTTAAGAAAAAAAGAGAAAAGCGAACAATAAGAAAATAATTCTGACTTGCAAATTGCGATCGATTATCCAGTTTACTTCGAAGTCGTCATCGTCCTCGCCGAATGGATTGATTAGCGTTTCGGCTACCTTCAACCAGCCCATGTAGAAAAAGAATTGCAATGTCGCGAATACTGGGAAATACAGATCGATGTTCGAGTCCGACTTTGGAACCCACTGACGGCCCATTACGGTGGTCAAAAAATATGTGTATACGGCTAAGGTCACAACCTGTAATAAAAATAAAAAATTTAGAATTCAGAAACGACACAAATTGGTAAATTACGCGGTTTTCTCTGATAATTTATTAAATATATTTATTAAGCGTTATTCTCGAGATTTTTGCTTATAGCGCATTGCTCATAGCGCCTTTCAAAGATTATGTAAATGGTCTTTAGATCTACCTGCGTGTACACTAACGGGACGCTAATCGTGTCGTAGTGCGATATACTGCCGCACATCCCGCGGAACTTGTTAAGCTCGTCGATGAGAGTTTTCACCGCGAAATCGTCTCGTATTCGACCTTCCTTCCGAGCGCGAGTCACAATGCTTGAAGCCCAAACTATCGGCAGCCAGTGCTTACTCGGATTCGGAAATTTCGCGTTTAGATGTTGAAATATCGACAATTCGTTATCCAGCAACAAACCGCTGTCGACGAAATGCTGTAGAGTGGGAAATCTCTTCTTTACACGTGGTGCGACGTTCGTTAGCATCATTGTCAGGCAGGCGCACACGTATCTGAAAATAGAATTTATTCTTCTTTATTAGAGAAACCAAAATCTGGTGCATAGAGCTATTCAAAGTGAAATTCGCTACATAATATATCAAATTCATACGAAATAATTTGTTATAATTATTGTCTATGACATGTAAAGTTAAATCTTAATGGCAGTACTTTTAATTGAGATTTAACATTGATATAACAAACTGTATATACGCTTTGGAATATTCAATTAATTTTTCACTTAAAAGACAAGAACCACACGTGTCACGTGTCTTTCTCTTTAACTTAAAGTCGGACTTTCTGACTGCAGCTTATGTACCTTACAACTTTACAATGCACAAGATACCTAACGATCGTTCGACGCATCAGACGAGCGCGTTCGTCGTTCCCGTGTATAGTGGCCGATACAAATACCGCGATGGAGTCGGGCCATGGTATCGTCATGTATTGATCCCACCATCTGGTCATGACGATACTGACATAGAAACCCAGGACGAATGACAGCGGTATCAGCTCGCTGTACTCGTTGCAATACGCCACCACAGATTCGAATATCTTCTTTTGGTCCTCGTTCAATAAGAATCGGTAGGTGCCGGACAGAGCGTAGTAGAGGCAGAGGAAGACAGTCAGATCGAGCCAGACGAGTTTGTAAATGCTCGCCCGCCACCTGAAACAGAATCAGACGCGTGGCTCGTAAAATGGTAGCAGACGCGAAACATGTGTCGAGAGCGATGATTGTCTCGTAATTGAACTATATACTTGGCGGGTAGACAAAAATCTTAATAGCGATAGTGCGCTTTACAATCTGACAATGCATTAAAATTACAAAGCGTGATAAAACGCGATAAAGTTACTCGCGTGCTGTTATCGAACCGAAAGTCAATAATCCTGTTCCGTTTCTTCGCTCACTGTTAGATCCTCGCTACTAATAGCGGCATTATGTTTGAAATGCGTCAACTTTGAATGACGAAATGTGTGTCATATTTTTATGCAAACACGTTGGAAATATTCGCAACCCGTTGTTTGCGGTTGGACGTATTCCAATGTAATTCGCGGTACTATTCTCAGGTACGCGCAACCACCCACTCGTGAATATCAGTGACATTTCGATAGCCACGTCAGTTTTACGTGAAGAAATTAACAATATGAGAAAGTATACAAATAGTTCACTATATTTGTGGAAAGTGCTATTTCAGTCGTAGATGAAAAATAAAAAGAGTCATGTAAAAGAGAAAATAAATGAAAAAGAAAAGTAAATATGAACAGCTGTAAAATTAATATACCGAGTAATAACAATGACATCACATCGAAAAATAAAAATTCATAGGTTTAATGAAATGTTAAAATAGTACAGAAAAATAAAAATATTAAAAATAAAAGATTATATAGTTGAATGATAAATCCGTGCAAAAAAATTCAAAATTTTTGACAAGTATATAATAATATATTCCAGTTGATAATTATAGTTAGGCCGAGGCAATTTCTCAAATGCCAAATAAAAAAATTAAAATCTCACCTGACCAACAACTTTAGGAAGCAACCGAGGCCCTTGCAAGTGGCTACCTCGGCGGTGTAGGAGACGGTCATCTCTCACGCGGCACGTGAATCCCACGTGGTTATACTTTTTCTCTTGTTAACTTCAAATGCTGCGCTCGCACTTTCGCCGACAGAAAGCTTGTGGTAAAGAAGTTTCGTCCTCTCGTCGAAATGTTTGATCGGGCCGGACAATTAATGTCAGCTCCTCTTCTGCATCATCTCAGGCTCCGCTTCCTCAAAGCAGCCAAGTTGACGGTCCACCGGTAAGAGATCACCAAGGTCATCGTTTATACGGATTGAACCGCGTCTGACGTGATTATGTAAGCTATATCAGTACAGAGGCGGGAACGCAAACTCGTTAGCTCCAATACAACGCGTCTTTCGCGTTTCGCAACAATCGTTGTTGTCAATGGGATTATTGTTCAAAAAATCTATTTTCGTTTTGCCTCGCTCCGTGTCGTTTCGGAAATGCGTTAGATATTATATCCGATCACCTCCTGAACTTGACGCAGTCTCACATGTACTCCTCGTCACGTTTAAATTTACTACGTGCCGTTATCGGCGTCTTTTATCATACGTTATCAGGTCTTGACAGACAGTAAATTTACAATGAAAGTTTCTCCTCGATAATAGATGAATTCTCGTTGTGGGCTCGTTCGCGTGAGAATTTATTATCTCGGAGAGATAACTGAAAGATTCTGGATTATCAACTTCTTCGCCGCCTCGTTGATACAATTATTTCTTTCATAAACATGGATATTCATTTAAGTTGTAGAATTATGATTATATTTTTTAGAATCCTTTCAATATTCTAAGACATCATGATGTACGTCGATTAAGTTGATTTTCTAATTATCAGATTTCCTCTTTGTCAGGAATTAAACATTGCTTTATTGTATATAATTTGTTTTCACAATAACGTATTTTTATACATGTATACAATGTTTTCACAATAACATATCTCCTCAAGGATAAATTTTAACGAGGCTAAGACATAGAAATTTGTTTGAAATTCCTTGAGAAACGGACGGTTCGTGTAATATTAAAGATCGTCCGAGAAAATCAAGAGCAATAATTGCGTGTATCGAACGATTTATCTGCAAATGTCGAGCTGCTCTAATTTTCCTCATTAAAAGATAAATGCTTCTTCGTGCAGTACCTATCAAGCGTAAAGATTCCGTTTCTTCAAATTGCTTAAGAATTCGAAGAATCCCAATCTGTAAGAAACGGAATTAATAGAGAATAAAAACATGAAGATACTCTATGAAAAAGTGAATGTTTTTCGAGACTAATTTTTGTTCTTTAAATTATTAAAAAGTTAGAGGATGAATAAAATTTTGAAAAATTTTAGTCTTTTTAGCAAGGACTAAAATACATTATAAAATGAGTTCGTTTCCATTTGACTACATTGGCACCGTTACTTCGTGACCGGACACGATCAATACAAACGATTCAGCAGAAATATGTAGGCGTATAAGTAAGGAAGGAAATGATTCAGAAATAATTTAATCCTTTATTTTGCTATCCAAGCAATTCGGTCCTTGAATTAATAATCCGGAATTAATTAACACGATTGTTTTTAATCCAACTATATTTTTCTGGAAATTTCCGCACTTATTCGAGTCTTACAATACTCGTCCTTGTGTGCATATCGTTATCACGAGGGTACGCTACCACGCGTGTATTACGCCATGCCCGAGCATGCAGTCGACACCGCGTGCTGGCGACTGTCGGTCTCGGTCGATCTTCGGAAGTGTATATTACGAGTTTCTGGTTGACGTCATGATATGACGGTATCAAGAGCATCGTATATCACGCCTAATTAGTAATTAGTTAATTAAATTTCACTCCCAGCGTGATACAGCTCGGCTAAGACTAACATGCGGTCGTGCGCCGTTGAAAACACAAGCCGGGTAAAATGGGAAAAAAAAATCGAGTCTCAGTTGCAACGCAACGTTATTTTACATGTAACGATACAAAATTGCCCTCGAGATAATTGTAGAGTCGATTCCAAGTTTTATAAAGTGAGGTGTATCTTATCGTGCGCTTTAAACGTCGACTTGTTAGGTGCCAAAGTCGTTTCTCACATGTTATTTAAATATCGCGAACGCCGCGACACTTTTGCAATTGCGGGTAAAGTAAAAATGTATTTTACGAAAAATTATTTTATGGCGAAATCGCGCGTTGTACATATACGTGACAAGTGTTGTCAGGCAATTTTTGACCTTGGACTTCGCGTGTAATAATACCTATCGTATAGACGCGATCATAAAATTCATTATTCGCGTCACACACGTGCAGCCCTCACTGCAGTCAGCTGTTGTGTCACATTTCCAAAGAAAATTACGATAATCACAAATTGATTGCAAATCGTGTATCGTGGGGCGTTCTGGTGAAATACTGTATACAGATCTCTGTTAATGAAGAAAGGACGTTTGCCTGCGCCAGTAGAAAATTCGAGAAACACAAAGAAAAGGAGAACGAGAGCAAGGAGCGGTGCAGGTGCAGGTTGAAAACGTTCTCGCCCTTTCACTCGACTCTTCCTACTTGCCTTCTCGATTTAATCCACTCTCAATTTTGTGGAAGTTGGCGCGTGACACGGTACGCGTGATCTCGGATCGGGATAAACAGTCGCGCGTTCGCGAGGGAACTTCCACAAGATCGCGTCGTCATACGAACGATTACCAGCACCGACAAGTACTGAGGCAACAGCCGCGGCCGCAGCACGCCAACGGGCATCCCCTACACTCTCCTCTCCTCTCGGGTCCATCCCCTCCGTCATGCCGTATTTCCGCATGAGTCAGTGGTGCTCACAGTCGGAGCATGCCGACCCCGCCGTATACCCGCCGCGGCCGCCTTTGTATAACGCTGCACGCTTACTGCAAGTCGCTTGCAAACGCTCGGCGTAATTTTGTTTACCGTTATCGATTATCTCACGAACGATCCTGTGAACCTAGAGTAAAATCGATGCCGCGAATAATGACGTTTGTAATCCCTTGGAATTTCTAAGATTGCTGCAGATATTCTAAAATTATTAATATCGCTCTCTTCTCTTTAAATATACATATATTTATGATCGATGATTGATAGCCATCGATGCCATTTCACAGATTTCATCTGCTTGTTTAAAAAATAGCTCCGTAAACACGCAGGAACTACTGTAAATGTATATATGCATACAGAAAGAAAAAAGATTTTCTCGTTTGTTTTGGCTCAGCTCGGCATCAGCTGGCATCAGCTAAATTTGCTGATGGATGAAATTCTATCGAGTATACATTAGTTGTGACAGATGATTAAATGTTTATACAGGGACGACGGGATAAAATAGCGATGGGCTAGCAAAGACGTAACGCAGACAAGTTGACGGTTGATATTTCTCTTCTTTTTAATATTCTCCTTACATCGGTAAACGCACACAACAATAATCCGTTCATTATCAAAATACCAGATAGCACGGGCAGCGTGTTATCGTTATAACATTCAATATGCATTATCCAAATTAAAATTTCTAAATTGTTATATCGTTAATATTTTCTCTGATATTACAACAGGTAGAGTAACACAACAGTAGATATAACAAAGCTCGTGTATCTTTACGTCATAATTTATACGAGGCGTTCCGTTGATCTTCACAGATCGACCGGAAATAGGAGAAACTCGGCGCGCGGTCACGGCTCTTTAAGCATCCGCGCCCGCTTCCTGCTGCTATTCATTTTACGAATGACACGACGTTTAAAATGATATAACTAAAAACTTACTTAAAAAATAAATTGATTTAATATATATAAAATCTATTTCTCTCTCAGTGGTTATAAAATACATCTCGCGAAATATCTCGTTTTATATACACAATATACTTTGCACTCTTTTTACAACATCTTTGTACACTTATTTTCGACATTGGACAAACTAGAACTCGGCATATTATGTCCGTCCGTCTCTAACGTTGGTCTTCTCGAATACGGTCTGCTCGAAAGTAAGAAGTCGCAGACGTACGTGTTTCGAGTGAAGTTCTAGGTCGCGAAAAAAAAAAATATTAAAGGGGAAATACTTGAAGTAGCGCAGCATATAGACTTTCACTCGAATCCGGCCTGCCTGATTCAATGCAGTTACAACGCACAGTCTTGGTCCCTAGAAATCACAGCCATTAAATGCAATGAACGATCTGAGATTTAAGGCCACTCGATTTTAAATCAGCCGCGATAATTCGAATTCGAAAATGGCAATGTAATGTTAGCGTTATCGCGATATCGGCAACGAGGACGTCCCTATTATGGGCAAGCGATGACGCGCATTGCATCTCGAACGACAAACGACTTTTGACGCTCTTTCAGTAATCTATATTGCATAATTCGATAGTAACAAACGCGAATTTTCACGCTCAATAGCACCAACCATGGTTAAACCAGCTTTCCTTTCGTATCTACATCATTAGAGCTTCAACTACGATGATTTACAGGGGGATAGGGAATCGCTCACCAGAAATAATTAATACAATTAGTTATTAGACAAGATTGTCAATGCAAACGGCTTGAAGAGGTCCGAAGATTCTTCCCTAATCGGCGAAGAGACTTTGCCGACTTTTCCCGAGGATCGGGGTAGCAAAAAGCCGTTCCCCCTTTTTCGGTGATTGGTCAGTTTTCCGAGTTAATGAAATGGACAGGCTTCATTTCACTCTGATTACGCGTATCTGTCACGCGACGATAGTCGTGAGAGCGTTGCTTTTGCTTCTGTAGCTACCGGGTCTGCAATGAATTAAATTAACGACACATGATACTCGGAAAAGCAATGTGGAACTCCAAATAAATATTATTTTAAAAAATTAGATAGCGATGGGGGTGTATCTGGCGATATACCTGATAGTAGCGTGCTGCGAGGAGCGCGACCATCCAGCGATGAAGTTGACTTCGCCTCTTTGACTGTTAATACGCTGCCGACGAATTTGACTGCCGCTTTTCGTGGCGATCCGCCGCGAGACCATGTGCATAGCATCTGGTGCGATAGTGGTCTGTATCGCCTTGTACACTAACCTTTTTTTAGAAGAAGAGAATACAATTTAGTGTGATATTTATTGAAATTAACTGAATTATTAATTACTAACAAAGAAATAGCACAAACATTTATATAAAATCATAATTTAATTAAAAATTATACGGATTGATATATCCAATTAATTAATATATCAATAAATGTTATAACAATTCTATCGTATAAAATTATAAGTAGAATAATTGAAGCAAAAGAGAGAGAGAGAGAGAGAGAGAGAGAGAAAATAAAATTTCAAATCGATTATAAATACAAAAACTGGGAAACCGATAATTTGATCTTTGCACATTTGAATTAATATTACACAATTACTGTAGTCATACAATATATGGTAAGCCTTACCTAGGCATTAAGGCAAGAACAGAAGTAAGTCCCACTGTTAACCAGTATGTGATATGTGTGAAGGCCATTTCCATTATCCAAAAGGACCCAGGTAGGCCCATACAATTGACGCAAACAGCATTGTAGAACAAGCAAAATCCGAAGAAAATGCCCAAGGAACCGAAGATGGCACCGATATGGATTATAGTCTAAAATAAATAGCGTTACATATAATGCTTGTGCTTCTCTTCTCTCTTAATAGTTTTACGTCTCCTCGTTTCCTCTAACTTACCCAAGATCTAGTTTCTATAGCAGCGTGAGCTAGCATGACGACGATACACGCCGACATAATAGTCGTCCCGAATTCCCATATATCAATAATCGAATCGTCATAAACCTGAAATGATAACGTGCGCTTATCTTTCCATACACTGTGACTACTTCTGTGATTACTTCCACGTGAGTCCAAAACTTGTACTGACCTCTTTGGTAATAAAAAATATGACAACACTTTGGTAAAGGGCGTCCATGATCGTGAGCCAAAACGAGTGTGACTGGTACACCAATCCCAGACGTCCCCTCGTGTATAATTCCGGCGCTGAAAGTAACACGCGGGCCTTGGCGACTCGATCGTAAACGCCCAAGGCGAGAGGCGGCAGCGAAGTGAACAGCAAGTTGTATAGCATTAAATATATTTGGTCTATCATTACGGAACCGGAAAAGCCGCAAAATATCTGCAAGAAGAGAGAAAAATGTGTTATAATATAAACGTCTAGTTATTTATTTTTATACTGTTCTCTTTACATTCACTCCTGATACTTGCCTGAAACCAGAATATGAGGAAGACAAATGTCGCGTTCTTGTAAAAGAAGTATAAAATCATTCGGGCGAGACGGTCGTAACACCAGTGCCCGTGTAGAAGGAGGAGCCGGCTGAGCATGGGAAATCGGGAAATCGCGAAATCCGCTGCCATTACCGCTTGCGTGCCCTCTCGCCCCGATATACCGACGCCCACGTCGGCGGTCTGTATCATGCTAACGTCATTCGCGCCGTCGCCAATTGCCAACGTTCTCATTCCCAATTGTTTCTTAACGATGCGGACTATGTATGCCTGCGATGCGTAAAATAAATTATATTACTCTTCCTCGTGTATCGCTCTAGTTTGTTAGTTCGCGGCTAGAGTTTATCCTAATATTATTTCGTCGCGTTAACGTTACCTTTTGCAACGGCGTGGCGCGGCAGGCTAGCACGCTGGAGCACATTTTTGTGAGTTCGAGGAACGGGCCGGTCAGGCCCGATCGCGAATCCAGGATCACGGTCAACGTCTTGCCGTCCACGACGAGCGCGCGTTGCCGCGGCCATGGGCTGCCGATCCTATGCGCGTCTCTCTCGGCGGAATCACGGTTGTATATGCCGGCGGGATCCGCGATACCCATCATACCCGGCTGGCCGTTGTTCACGCTCTCTTTGCGCGCCGACTCCAGATAGCCGTGTATAAGCGCCTCCGCTACGGATTTCGATCTCGCCTCCAGCTGTAGCAGCTGCATGGCCGGCGAGAAGAGCTGCGCCGAGTACGCCACGTTCACCGCGGTCTCCGGCTTGTCCCCTGAAACGGAAAATGCGGTGTGACGTGGAACTCGCATTAACGCGCGCTAATTACGTTCAAGAACACGGACTGGTTCCGAGGGATGTTTACTTTTCATTGGCTTTCGATACGTTCGCCTCCGTAATTTTTTTTTATGCCGTCTTTATATAACGGCATTTATGTAATAATGGGTAGGTAGCGACGCTGGCTATGTGGGGGGAAATGCATTTACGATTCAATACGAAACACGTATATCTCGTATATCTCTTTCTCTCTCTAAGATGATCGCACTAAAAATAATGCTCGCCGGCTGTAAAACCGGTTTGTCGCGATTGTGCGCCGGACTCGCGAGTGAGCGATTTTCCACGAACCTGTCAGAACCCACACGACGATCCCGGCGGCGACCAGGGCGGCCATTGTCTCGGGCACGCCGGCCTGGAGCTTGTCCTCGATACCGGTCGCACCCAGTAACGTCAAGTGCGACTCCAACGTCGCGTACGAGTCGCGTATGCGACGCTCGCGGTTCTCCGTCGCCAGCTCCACCTCGTTGTGCTTCTGTCGCCACGTCTCGTACTCCTGCGCCGTCAGCGTTCTCTTCGCCATCACCAGCGTGCGTAGACCCTGACGCGCGTACGATTGCAGGTACTGTCGGATGCTCGCCGAGGCGACGGTGTTCTCGTCGCTCGACGAGAGCGCCGGCAGCATCGTCGTGTCGGCACCTTTGCTGTACAGCACTATCTCGCCGGTGTGAGGATGTCTGAGCAGCACCGACATGCATTTCCTGTTCGAGTCAAACGGCAGCACCTGCAATGCGTTCGACAACGGTGAAGCGCGTATTCCGCCGTTTCTCACGAGCAACTCGTCGTTCATAACATTACCACCTACATGAAGTATCTCGAACGCGAGCGTCGACTTGTCCGGGAAGGATATGATCGCGCTGCGGGGCGTCCGTTTCACCAGCTTGATGTCGTAAGCGCGTGCCGCGTTCACCAGCGCCAGCTCGTCCGGGCTCTCCGCCTCGTAGATCGCCGGACTCTGCAGCAACTCGTCGCCGTTCTTCGCGTCAGGGCTGCGTCCCTTCTGTCCCTCCGGTGAAAACTTCCGTCCCAGCAGTCCGATGCCCAGACTCGGTATCGACGTTACGTTCAGCAACTTTGGCCTACAAAGATATTGCTCCGTTAAATACTTTCGTATCTTAGGCACCTCTGAACGAGGTATTGTATACCAACCTGGAAATTTTAAACAGGAATTTCGAATTATCATCGAATGTGTTTGCCGTGGTAATTACTGGTGATACTGAAGACAAAGTGTGAACAGCTCTGTTGCTCGGAGACAGCGGTACCGGTGGAGAATTTATGGTCGGAAATGAGCTCGTGTCTGTTTCCGTTATTCTGTCGAACATCCCAATTTGTTAATTTCGTGAAAAATAATCATATAATAAACGCGGTTATAAGATTAGATATAGTCCACAGTTGCAAAAATAGACATATTTAATTATTTTCATCAAAAACGAAACAAATCAATTCATTTTCGCCCCTTCATTGATCTAACATATACAAACCTCGTAGGACCAGTTCCATTTTTTTGAGGTTCCTCGATGACCCCGCTAGAGTTCATATTATCGTGATGCGGTTGAGAATTTACAACAACCGTGTTGCACGTGGCTAAGACAATAAGAAACTCCTGTAAGCAATGTCGAAATGAACCTATGAGCAGATCCTCCTTAAGTCGCGAACACGGAAGCAGATTCTCGTTGTCGCCCATGTGCGAATAATCCTGACCGCCTACCACGCATCTCCTAAATAGCATTTTGTTCTCCGTAAGAGTGCCAGTCTTGTCAGAAAAAACGTACTGTACCTGTCAATTTAATAATAATATTTTACATTGTATTGTATATTACTCCGCAAAATTTTTACGTTAAAAAAACATTACAGAGAAATGTTAAAAATCATAAAGAACGGTCATACCATTTAAATATTACGTAATTAAATTGATTGCGTGTTATTAAATGTAAAAGAAAGAAGTATTAATTTCAGGATACAAATGTGAACAATTTTCACGTTTTTCCCGATAAAACTTTCATAACATTGATCGCAAAATATTCATCCCGCGCGAATTCGTTTAGTCCAATTTTCACTTTTTTCTCGATAAATGAAATTTTTATAATATTGATCGCAAAATATTTATCTCGCGCAAATTCGTTTTGTCCAATTTTCACTTTTTTCTCGATAAATAAAATTTTCATAATATTGATCGCAAAATATTCATCCCGCGCGAATTCGTTTAATATATGAATAGCCGCACTCACTTGGCCTAGCTCCTCCGTGATATTCAGCGCGCGGCATTCCGCCTTACGGCCGGTTTCCGTGTCGTGGAGGGCCGGGTCGTGGCCGATGTGGTACACCTGTCCCACCTTAGCCATCTCGATCGTCACGTACAGGCTCAGCGGTATCATCACTTGGAATATTATGACGAACGTTAGGAACGTTAATAAGCTCTCATAAATTGGCTCCTGCATCACCGGCAAGAACGGCACCATCGGCAGACCCGTGTACGCGGACAGCCAGAATCGGCAGCCGAACGCGCCGATCACGCACAGTATCAGCAGTATCACCACGCACCATTTCACGTCTCTGTTCATGTATCTCTCCAGACGAGAACGCTGAAATCACGCGCGCGTTGCATCTCAGAAAGGCATTTCTCTTCAATGTGTGTACATTTATTATTTATTAAATCACTTTGACGCGCGACTTTGAATCCAAAAATTATTATAGATATTTGTTTCCTTCGGCATTTACCTTGTACCTGGGTCCGCCGTTGTTCAGCAACGCTTTGGTCTCGTGGCCGGCGTATATGACTATACCCTCGACGAAGTCGGTGTTTTTTAAGACGCATTCCCTGAGTAAAAGATTTTCCGTGGATACGGGCACCCTGCCACCGTTTTGGTGCACCACGGCGCCATGAAACCTAACAGACGCGTCAGTGGAATCACTCTGGTAATCCGGTTAATTCCGTCTAAACGTTATCACGGCAATAAACGACATTTGCGATGAGCGCGTTTCTCAATTAAATTGCGTTAGATTGCGAAAATATCGAATCAAAAATTCACATTGAAGATGTGAGAAATAAAAAACTCTGTCATGGATTTTTTTAGAAATTGGTAACTCGTTCGAAAAAAGCTTTTGGAAAATTTCTTAAAAACAATAGAAATAATTTCTAATTTCAACACGCAAGATAAAATAACCGTCGATATTTACCTATATATTCTAGTGCTTGGCTGATCGACCTCGACTACCGATCGGAACTTGGAAGGCTGGAAGGTATCCTGCAGATCGAGAAAACCCCGGACAACCTGGCGCTGCTTCAGATTCGTCTCGCCGTCGAGATTGCACGTGTCGAGGTAAGCTAATCCCTGAGGATCGCTGCTTCGCAGAAGCAGGAGATCGGCCGGTACCAGTTCGTTGTTCGAGAGGTGAACCAGGTCACCCACCTTGACATCCTTCCACGCTACCTTCATGTATCTGTCGCCCTCGCTACAATGAAATCACGCGAAATCTCGTCAAGAAACATTCTGACACTAGTTTTCAAACGTTTCTTGAAACATTACAATGCTGAAAATATAATTGCATATATAAACGCGAAACTTAATTAAACAATAACATAATTAAAGGGTTTGCGCGAATAATAAATTACTCCTATACTCTGCGACGTGTTTTAATTTCACTATTCGCAATTACGCAAATTACATTTTGCGACTTCGCAATAAAAGATCTGATTGTACGTTCGCTGACTAAGAGACTGTGAACATTTCTCTAATAGAGCACAGTCTGTTTCATTTAATAAGCTGGACTTATCATACGTGCGTAAATTACGCACGTCAATATGCTCCGCTTTTGACTAAATTAATCAAATAACTGCCATATGTTGCTACATCCCATTACGAGATCAAATAAGAGTTAAATATTTAATTCTCTCGCACTTAGAAATTGAGCCGGCGAGCGAAATTACACGTATAAATATCTTACTTAACGAGTTGACGAAGGCAAATCCTTGTATTGCATAAAAGAACTCGTAAGGCTACCCTGCTGTCGTCATCGTGGAAATGGACATTGCGCATGGCTTCAAACGCAAATGTTTGTTAAGATCGAAACGAGCTCCGTTTGTACAGCGAGACGCGCGTACATTCGGTAATAAATAATTCTTATTTGCACGCCTACCGAAATGGAAAATTAATGATCGTGAATATCAACGAATAATGAACGGTACAATGAAAAACGTTAACGAAAAGGTCTGCGCCAGCCACGTGTCGCTTCCCGTTTCTTTCTTTCGCTTCAATTTTCTAATAATTTTTTAATGTCACCAACATATCGAATATTAAACTGCACACATCGTTCACAGAACGTGGTCTAAGAAAGCATATTATACTCTAACTAACTTTCTAAATCTAATAACTAAGCCAAGGATGATACACGAAATATTGATACGTGGGACGAAATCGAGTTATGAAGTCTCGTGAAAATATAATTTCCTATTACTTACTCTCCGAGTTCTCCTCGGCATGGAATTCGCGATGGATAGGCCTACAGGCGACCTTGCGTGGCTAATTCAAGAAAGATTCATCTCTATTTCTCTCTCTCTCTCTCTCTCTCTCGAGTACTCTCCGGGTATGACGAAACAACTGGTTGACGATATTTCTTTAATTGAAGCACATAGAGCGGCGACGGCGCCCAAGGTTGTACGACCTTGAATGCCATCGTCACGTCCATTCTCATTTGATCGGAACGAAATTGAGACGCGACGACGGGACGATCATCGGAGACGACCTTCGAGAGAAGCGCGGGTCCTCTCGTATAGCAAACGATATCGTTTCGACATTTGAACGCGGTAGGATTACGCGTGAATATGGGAGATTACAGAGATTTATTTCGAGAACACGCCGCCGTAAAAGAGAGAATATCGTTCATCTTTACAAGGTCGCCTTATTAGACGAGACTAAATGATGCAAATTCTTTTTGTTCTCGCCTCGGAAGATCGTAGGAAGAAAGACACCATTCTTGTACCTTAATTTGCACCGCTCGCTTTTTCGCTTTTTGCGTTTAGTATGACATCAATCATTGTAAATGCATGCATTATGCATCGCGTATCGTATCGATGTCACGATTAAGCGGTGTTTCCTTTTTGTCGTGGATTTGTATCTTTGTGCCCCGCGAGGGAGCAACGTGGATATTCGGTGCACGTAGCGCGAATATACAAGCTAATTATGCAATTATAATACGCAACATCTGTCCGATGTCATAATCATCTCCGTATACGTGATACGGCGAGAAATCTAATAAATTCTACAGTGTAACCCGTCCGCGAATATAACACAATTATTGCAAAAACAATATCCACTGAACATAGGCCGATAAAATACATAACAGGTTTTTCTGCGGTGCATTACGTAAGCAACGTATAACTACGTTTCTCGACGTATATGCCATATTAAGGCAGGGCTATTAATTCGTCGTGGTCATTTTTGTCGTTTCAGCGATCTCTGAAATGAGCTTGTTAATTTTTCCCAAATCCATAATATATACCTATATATATATTTTTTTTTTCCTTTTAGTTGCACGTATTCAGACGATCAAACACACCGCCTATCATTGTCACCGCCGTTCGTTATCGCCGGCCGCATAATAATTTCAGGATAACAATTTTTAACCGCACCATAATTAGAAGAGATAACAAGTCAAGGATAAGCGCATAGATATTTTACTTTTCAAAATTCAAAGAATTTTCTATCTACGATATTTCCAGGCTGAAATTTTTAATTTTCCGACTTAGCATTCTCTTGGCATTCTCTTAACATTGTTCCGACTTGACCTTCAAATGATTACAGCTCTAATACCACGAAGGAACTCATGAAATTTTACTATATTATCTGTACACGGAGAGAATTTTTTTTTAAATTTACCCTGCAAATCATGTTAATTATGGAACAATATAGTATTTAGGCAAATTTTACTGTGCACTACAATAGGATTTCGCAGTAAAATTTATTGTAGTGCACAGTAAAATTTGCCTAAATACTATATTGTCCCACAATTAACATGATTTTCAGAGTAAATTTTAAAAGAAAATTCTCTCCGTGTAGCGGTTGCAAGTACATTAATTTATTTCAAATTAATTTTTAATTAAAAATAATTTCGGCACAAATTTTGGATGTCTACGTTCGAAAATTTTTATAAAAAAATCTTCCAAATTAAAAAAAAAACATTAAATTACAATCTTTTTTAAAATTTAATAAAAGTTATATAAACCAATATTTTAATAATTCTAAAACTTAATAAGAGCCTTAAATAAGGGACAACAAGATATTCTTATTAAAAGAAATCCATTCCGATTAAATTAAAGAAATCATGAGAAATCTGCGCATTGTTTCATCAAGTGCGCTAGAGAACCAAGAGAATTACTTGCAGTTAAAGCACAGTAGTCAAACATTTATAATTATGTGATTTACGCTGAATGTTTATATCAAAAGTTTCCCACGTAGTGTCTCTGTGTACGGATTTGCTGGTTACTCGTTGATATTTCAGGACTTCGAGCGCGTTTCGGAGAACCGATATAGTTAGGATACGCAAGCACACACGCATCACACGTTTACACCCGCATCGCATGACGTAACGCGGTGACATCACTCGCTGGTTTAACGGCACTCTGAAAGCTTTTGCAAGAGGAAAAAAAGGGCTAGATGCGTGCCTTCTCGCCTCGATTACATAATTGACCGAACTTATCTCAGATTTGGTCAATGCTGCACAAAATTCTTTATGCAGTACGTAAACATTAGTAACGGAAAAAAACATTATTGCTATATCGGATGACGATTAGAAGTTGTTTGTGTTCGGGAAAGGTATGGCGATTTCATCAGCGATGCTCGTGGGAAAGAATGCTTCTGAAGTGAGATATCGAGTAGACGGTCTTACGGCTTCGGATTTAGGCGAAGTTTTAATCTATAGTGGTATGCCCAGCGGCCGCCACAACAATGAAACTATCGACGAAGGTTAATAGCTGTACGTTTCATGCAATCGGTGTCAAATAGCGAGGCAAGTGCGATGATTAGTGACTCGCACACGCGAATCTTGCGACATTGTTCCAATACAGCCAGAGAAACTTTTGATTTACTTGCAATTTTGACGGTGTTTTGTGTAAATCGATTTTATGTAAATCACAATAAGTTCAATTGAACAGTTATAAATCAAAGGAACAATCAAAGGACAATCTTTTATTAATAGTCATTTTATTTAATTATTGAAAATGCTCTATAAAGTCGAAATAAATTTCAAAAAAATTATTCTATCCTTTGATGGCAGACATTTTAAATCATACAATAGGATAGATTAGAACGCATTTATTGAGGCTTAAAAATAAATTCTGTAAAGATAGATAATGAAATTGAAATAAATACAGAGGCAGATCAAGTAACACTTTCGTTTAGCTGCCGTGCCGTGACAAATAATGATACAATCTGTTGCTAAAAAATTTCAAGAATAAGCCACGCGAACGAAGAGAGGAGGTTCATATTAAATTATTTAAAGCAACTAATTAAACGAACTAAAATAAGAAATTATTGATTTCGTGACTTAAAGAAGTTCTACATTTTCCACCAGTTACACACACACACATATGTGCATTCCCGAAAAGTATTGGCATATGGCTCTCTCAGAAGCGTGAAGGAGGAGACGTGCAATAAAAATAGAGACTAATAAGCGGAATCGACAGATTGTAAGGCACGCGCCACGAGAAGAGATAAAAAGGGGTAATGGAAATAAATGCGAATGTCAAGGCCTTCGGCGCACGAGACGGATCTGAATCGACCTGGCCGTGAATGTGAGAGGAAAAGAGAGAGCGTGCAGAAGTTGCTCGCACTATTATGCGGATACGTTGCGTTCAGAAAACGCTAGAGTTGAACGATTAGCGAGCGCGTGTAGTCACGACTCGAAGAATCGCCGTCGGCGTCGGCCGCCAACGTAATTCCGATTCGATCGTCCTTTCCGATAGAGAACACGCGAATGCATCGGCAGGTAGTGCGTCGCGGCTGCATCGAAGATCTGTGCAATAATCGCGTCAAGTGTACAGTGATTAGAATATTTTCTTCTGCGTCGGCGGATAAAAACATAAATATTTTATCTCATTGCCGCGATAACGCAATCCTTTAATTCTATCGGAATCGTGGCGATATCTTGAGATAAATCGCTCCATTCGAGACTTGTACCGTACGAATTATGGAACGATTTTGTATCGCGAGCGTGATCGGGAATGCGAATTAATATTGAAAGTGAATCGACGTGTATAGGATGTGGCCGGATACGCCGAAGGGCAAGGTCGCCCGGCAAAATCCGGGGAGACACCGTATATCGGAATTGCCAGGTCATCGATCAATTTTCCGATTACGTTGCATTATGAACGAGGGTTCGTGACGATCGCGAAACAGCCCACGTTCGTATACGAACGATCGAAACGGCGAGCGAACGATTAGCCAACTAACTGCAATTGAAAACACAATTGTAATTATGTCAGACCGAATGAAAATCCACCGTCGGTTTTCCACGCAGATATAAATTAAGACTATTATTTGAATCGCAAAGAAATTATTCTTATTTTTTCTCAATGTTTTTCAAGGATCTCAATTTTTCCTCGATTTACATCGTTATAAACGGTCGCGATAAATTTATAAGCCGTCTACCTTTCCTCCGTTATCTCATAAGCGTCTTTTTAAGTAATAGAAATAATCGCAAGTCACATACAAGATAAACAGTAATCTCTACGTCTAATTACTCGTTAAATGAATTGCCCTTTTTACAACTACAAAAAAAAACGTAAATCGCGAGGCTTCACTTCGATCGAAAAGGAATTAGCGTTAATAGACCTGGTCATCATCCCCGAAACTATTGCAAGTCACGAGACGATATTTCGGAGTTCGTTCCCCCCTGTGGTTCGGCTTGGAGTATTCCAAGCGTTGCGCTGCAACCACGTGGCATGCGTACATACGCGTTTATCGCGGCGCAAGCGTATCGTAGCCGTGGCGAATTCTATCTCGATTCGACCGCGCGTGTGCAACAACCTCTTGCTTTCGTGCAGCGATTATTTGCCCGGGCATTTCGGATGCGTAAGCGGCGAAACGAGGTGGCACGTGGTTCGGACGACGATTGGCGTATGTGTTGACACGCGTTAACACCGCGCGCGCGCGCCAACGCACGATACGCGCTATCCAAATCGTCGTCCGCGGGACCGTTGCTCGCGTCGATATATATAGCGAACCCGTTGAGCTAAGCGGGCTTACTATCGTTGTTGCGGGCGCACGTCGGTCGGCATTAAACGTAAACAACGTTTGACGCGTCGCGAACGAATTAGAACGTCGTATCTCGCGTGTATACGGACGTGCGGCGCGGGGACCTCCCGCGGAAAAAGAACGGTATACACGAGACACTTTCTTCACCATGTTCGACCGCAATGCACGCCGACCGACCGCTCGCTCGCTCGCTCGCTCGCTCGCTCGCTCGCTCGCTCGTTCGCTCGCGCGCGTTCGCGTTCACGTGTACGTGACCTACATATCTGGAATTGTCGGTCTTATTGGAATCGATCTATCGGATTCCGTTGCCGCAAGGATTCTAACTGAAGCGACAGCTCGCGCGGCAATACGGGCAAGGATAAACGGGCGCAAGGCCGATACCGGTTGAAAAATTAAATGTCCTTGTTCAACTTTTTATTCAACGTGAAGCTTCCCCGTAACACAATACGCAGTAGAATAATAATTCTTTATTAGAAATGAAACTGAGGCTTGAAGGGGGGGAGGGGTATTTAGTTATTATTATTTCATTATTCCGATTTCACATATTTCACATTCTTCTAATACCTATACGTATATAGCTTTCCAATAACAGGACAAGCTGCTGTCATTTTATCGCGTTTCATCGCTCGATCGACATTCGTTAATGTTTCTTTATCGCGTGTAATTCGCAAATAGACTCGTGTAACGTTATATATCGACTCTTTTTACCGTAAAACTTGAGTTATCTCTACATCGCTTTTCCGCGGTGGTTCTTGAGGAGGGGAGGAGAGAAGGGGCCGGCCGATCGTACTTCGACGATCCGTACGCTATATACTTCGCCGTGTGTACACTTCGCTCTCTGTGTACGGCTGCAATGTTGCACTCACCTAACGTAGACGCGACAGGTGGAATTGTTCACACGCCGGTCACTGGCGAGTCGCCGGCGATCTTCGAAGAAGTCCTTAAGCGCCGTGACACCCAGAACGAATACCACGGGGATCATCGCGACCTCCTTGCCGAACGCGTTTATGGCCGGTACCCAATTAAGCAGCACGATGAAGATGAAGTACAGGTTGGCCACACGGTGGAACTGCTCTAGCAGGTTACGAGGTAGGAAGCTCAGCGCCGTGTACTTCGTTGTACGTACCCTGAAGAAGAAACGAGCACATGTGTAAGAACAACGGCGCGGAGATCGTCTCCGAACGGGACCATCCTTCTCGTCTCCCGTTCTCACCTGTTGTCCTTCCTACTCCCGTTGGGATGCTGACTCTTCGGAGTCTTCGGCGGGACTAAGTGATTCGGCACTATTGTTCGTAAACGGGGTTCCTCTGGCAGCGGGCCGAAACAATGGGCCCATAATCTCCTCCACCATGGAGGCGCGACGCTACGTCTTATCGTATAGATAGATTCCGATCTGCAAACAGTCGCGACGAAACCTGTGTCTTTAACACCCTGCTTTCTAATACCAACTGTGTCGTCTTTCGAAAAAAAATATTATAATTTATCGCAACTCAAAATTATTCTCAATCTCGCGTCTATTGAATTCGTAATTTTAGTGATCGATACCTTATGACGAGGCGCTCGGTATACTAATATTATCGATAGAAATTGCAAATACATTTTTAACAAATCATGCATCATATAAAATTTTGATTACATAATTCGAAATTATATTTTTTATTTTATCGCACGTTCGATAATTTTTTAAATATCTCTTATAACATGAAGCTTCAAAAGTTTTTAGAATTTTATACTTGTTATTGGCAGTCAGACAAGCAACCTAATAAGCGTTTAGCGTCGGCGAGAAAGTATCGGCCGAAATAGATGTAGACCTTATCTTTAAATTTCACGTAGAACTGTAACTGTTGCGTAAATTATCTGTTTATTGTTAGCGTATTGTTATTGTTGGCCAATAATCTTTATCACTCGGAGCAATGATAAATCGTGTTCTCTCGCTTCTTACCTGGACGCCTGTCGGGAATGACCGCGAAAGGAAGGCATCCTGCCGGCAGTGGGCGGCCTGCCATCCTCCCTGTGGCCTGGCGGCAGGATAAAGTCCGTTCTGGAGCCGACACGGTGATGTCCCGTTACGGCTGATTGGCCCTGCGTCACGTCCGCCACCTGACCCTGACTGAAGGCTCTCTGGTGACCCGGCTTCTTCAGCGCCGACGGCCGACCCGCGGACGTGGCGCTTCCCACCGCCGTCAGCGGGCCCAGGAAGGACCCGTAGGTCTGCCATCCGGTCGTGCCATCCGCCAAAACACCACCGTGACTCGCCGATCTCGCGTGCGTTCTCGAGAGGGCTTTCCTCCGGGCCGGTGAGCTGACTTCCTCTACTGCGTCCTCGTCCTCGTCGCCGTTGCTGTTTTTCGACGTGCTCGTCATCGTCGTCGTGACGCTGGTCGTCACCGTCGCGCTCGCCGTGGTCGAGCCACCGTGGAGGAACGGCAGCGGAGGCGGCTGGAGAGGCGCCGTCGAGATCGACGACGACGACGATGACGTCGTCGCGCAGCTGGGACGACCCGCACTCGGGAACACGTAAAGAGACCCCTGTCTCTCGATCTCCTCGCTGGCTGCTTCCTGCGCGTCGTCCTCGGACATGCTGGCACATCTACACACACACGCGATGCAAGAAAAAAAATTTCGTAGACCGTGTGAAACAATAAGTGCAGAGTAAACTTTGCAGGTATGGCGAGAACCGGTCGACTCTCTTAAAACTTCCAGCAATGATGAACATGTCCCGAGCATTCCCACAATTTACTTTTATTGATAGATTGATAGATTATTACCGAATAATTATTATAATAAAAGAGAAGGCATTTTTTCACCATGGAGATAATCAAATAAGATAACGATTATCAAATAAGATAGAGATAATGCTCTATTTTTTGTATATCAAAAGTTTACAAAGATTTTTATTTTGCAATTTTATATAGCTTTTAACAAAAAATTATAAACTGTAATTATGAATTTATTAAGTTAAAATATTGTTAATAATGAGACCAAAGATATTTTCTTAAAGATTAAATTTGAGTTCTGAAGTGTTTTGCAATATTCCGAATTTAGAACTGACATAGGTTTTGGCTTCTGTCGGATTACAGATAAACGGTAATATGTATATCATTGACATCATCAAATATAATACTCGACTTTCATGCGAAGGATTATCGTAGCTGGTAATCGACTGTGCATGGTCTAACTCGCAATGTAATATTTCGCCACACCTTTATCCACAACTATATAGATGAAATTGTATCATAATCAGAATTTGCGAAATCGATACGGTAGCGCGAGTGTTCAATCTTCTTCGATCGCGATGAGAAAGATAATTCGGCCTCGCGTCCTTGCTCCGATAGTACAATACGTCCTCGGCCATGCCTTTTGAACGCAACCGCCTTTGACTCGAAATTCGTTCGTTCGTATTATTCTTCTCGCCGCAGGCGTCTGCTTATTTCCGCAACTGACGAATCATTCGCGCTTACACGTATCGACGAAATAACAGTCTTACGTGCATCGCCGTGTGTTCTTTGCAAACAAGAAAACGCAAATATAATCATAACTTGACGCAATTGTGCAGTTTTATACTGAATTATACCGCGGCACGTTGCTGCGAAAAAAATCGACATTTAGACATATTAAAGATAACGATATTAATTACTTTTTAATATATTTTTAAGTATAGTTTATGTTTATTTTCATATGTGTATACATTCCATATTTGTATAAGGAATGAACGTTATTTTCAGACATTGGCGTCGTCATTTTCAATGTCGGATTTAATATGAAAATGATAACAAAATTTTATCTAAGCTTTCTATCGGCGTGAGCATGGAAACGTTGATATAGCCATTAATAACCGCCTCTGTCAAAAATAACGGCGAAAATTGGCACATTATAACATCCGCTCGAAAACACGTCATCGTTTTGCAGCACCTTTTCATATATCATAATCAGCTGTCACACGTCCACGTGACGTTCGTTGAACCTATATTAATAATTATTGAAGTAAATCGATCTTATCGGACAGACATTCCTCTATAACTTATTCGTTATGGACTACATTTATCATTTATCGATTCCCGCCTGATTTATTAGTAATGCGATGCGACAATATATATTTGGCAATTCCAGATAATTGGACGACTCTACAAGGATAGGAGCAATAATATTCCAGCATAGCCGAAAATAAACGCGGGCTTCAGAAGTGTTTATTCAATTTTACGGGACGTTAAAATCGAAATCCGGGAACCAGGTGTCGAGATTTACAGTGCGATATCAAGCACAATTTCGCATTGTTATCGAATAAAAAAAGATAGGGAATCCCTCGATAAAACGCGAATCGTGGAAAGTGCCATGTGTAGGGAACCGCCTATCGGATATCCTGTGTAGATAACCAAAGTCAACAAAAAAAAAATTCTTCGCAAAAAAATTGTAGCGAATGCACTAGTCAGAGGGAAAATTCTTTGCCTTGAAGTTTGCAGAAGGCAGAAATTTAGAGCGTTTCTCCGCAGAAATACCGCGCGTTATTTTCAGACGCTATTTCGAAACCAGTACGACATCCGGAGATTAATCTTAATAAGTCCTCCACTAAAAAATAATCAAAGTATGGTACCCTTCGAAGGACAGATTCGAAGCTCGCGTGCAGTATTTGCCATTAAAAAAAGAAAAATAAAATTAGTCAGGCAGGCGCACCCTGTGCACGAAAAGGAGTATTGACAGAGAATACTTATCGTTCATTTGCTCGACTGATACAAAAATACACATTCCGTCTGATTCTGATGACACTCGCCGATAATTCTGATAAGCGATCGATACTGCGATTTTAGCACAAAGGATAGGCTCCATATTTTTTTCCAATTTCTTATTGGCGTTAAAGATCTCGAATAACTCGGGCTTCGGACGCGCGATATGAGAGTGGCATTTAAATTAACGCGATTGATGAGTAGATATGCAGAAATATAGATCGAAATGGCTTCAATTAATGATTAAGAGACGTTGTTCATTCCTTAAAGGCGTTTCTAGTAAGCGTTGATCTTTATCCTGATCATTCATCTTCCAAATTGTTTTTCTTGTAGCAGTGCTATATCGAAATACGTATGTAAATGTAAAGATACTTATCTTAATACGGTATACAATGAAAGCTTAAAATTTTCCACGTTGAAAAATATTGTACATTATATAATGTGTTGCAGATATATCTGAAAGTATATTTCACGGGAATTTGATTTTTATCTTTTCGATTTATTTAGCGGCATCTAACTTTCATTACTTTTATCATGTTTACCGGGGCTTTAATTCGCGCTCGGACGCGTGTAAATATCTAATTCGAGTTGGCAGGAGCGGCGCGCGGGCGGCGGGGAATGCGTGTCACGGATTGTCGTTTCATCATGCGTACACGCGTGCATGCGCTAATGAGTGCAATCGCGCGATCGCGTGTGCGTGCAGTGCGATGAACGAGATTCCGGTGTGCGCGATCGATGCACACGCGGGCACCCTTCTCTCTCTTTGCAAGCAAATCGCTACCGGCCGAATGTAAACGAAGGGGGTATCAAGGGTAGAAAAAAATCGAGCGGCTAAGTAAATTGGGTCACCCGTTTACTCGCGAGCGCCTCCTTTAGCCACGCTTTGCCGCGTCGTTAGGACGATTGGAGCGACCGTTAAAGAAAATTGCGATATCGCCTCCTGTCGATCGTCGAGGCTCCTTGTATAGATTATCCGGGATTAATCTTTCGAAATCGTACCGTCAAAGGAGTTGATCGATTGTCTTATAATGCATCCATTGTCGTTATACATTTACGCACCGATCAACATTCTCCGTAGCATTTAAATCTTTTCGAGAAGATGCTTCATCTTTTTCTGACAATCCCGAATGCCTTGGAAGAGGCATTAATAGTTGACGGCACTTTTTAGGCAATCTAAATTTCGTTAAACAGAAATAATTTTTATTTGAAGATTCTCCCTCAAAGAAGAAACTTCAAAAAGTTATTTTCTCAGAAAAAAAATAGATTATCAAAGAATTTTGACGGAAATTGACAAAGTAATTTCGAATGAAATCCAAGATCAAAGATCAGAAACGACTCACAAGTTTATTTTACGCGACTTTGATATTCAATGCGTGATAATGCGAGCAGATTTACCCGGCGTTTTTTCCCAGTTGACGCAAGAGTGATTTTCTGATCAGCGTCGAAATAAACGCAACGAGTGTAACAGAATCTCTCTCTTTCTCTCTGTCTCTCTCTTTCTTACTTATACTTGTAAAACATAACGGAAACCAGATGGGATCCCTAAAACATATCCCGTAGTGCGCGAGAATAGCGTATTTTACTTAAATTAAGTTTGCGCTTTGGAGCAAAATATTACTACCGGAAACTCGATAAATTATACAACATACCGACTATTCAAATAAAACTAATAATTAGAAAAGTATAGTTAACAGTCATAAAGTTCGGGCCACTTGTAATATCTTCTTTCGTTTATTAATCTTGAATGAATGCCCGCTTAAAGCTAAATACGAGCATTAGCGTTCAATATGGTTCAGATAATACCGCAATTTTCTTCAAAATTCGTTTCAAAGTCGACTGATAGCGAGCGTGTGCGATAAGCAGCGCGCTAACTCGATTGTTAGTCGAATTCACGAAACGCATGTACCTATATACCTACGCAAAGCGAATAAATTACGAGCGAAATGATGTTTTCGAAAATCGCTGGAATTCCACTGGAAATACAGGATCGATCTTTTTTTTTTCGGTTGAAGTCGTGTAATACTACGCGCGCGTGTTATTACGTCCCGTCAGCGAAATAAATCGACGTCTCTTGGCAAATAATAAGACGGGCATTTTTACGCGAAACAAGTATCGCGAAATAAAGGATGTAAAGAACTAAACGAACGTTCTCAAGCGGCGCGATAAAGTGAAGAATAATCTGTATATTGAGCGCACGTGTCGCTTTTTATTACATCACATATTCTTTTATCGTATTTCTTATTACGCACGATAGTCTTCGTCATGTCATTGTTAGACACTGCATACTGTGAATAATGTTACATTTGTATTAACACTCGCGCCTTTAAATTACACAGCGACTCGCGAGATTGTCAAAAAAATGTCTTACGGTCTAATTGACACGTAACGTGGAATCGCGTTAATCGTCAGTCGAGACAATTTTACGCGAAAGAATGTCTTCTTGCTGAGAGCCACGAGAGGCAATTTTACGCGATTGCATTCAGGCGAATTAACCGTTACTTTACGACGTTGCAAACTGTAAGCTTTTCCCTGCCGCGCGTTTGTGCGACTTTTCAAGTGGCATCGCGCGGCCAATTTATCGCGAGTACATTTAAAGCCCACGAAATTTAAAGGGAATGCACTTGGGGCTGAAAATCGCTTCGAGTTACGAGTGTCTTCTTTAACGTGTCTTCGCTTCCTATAAAATAATACCCTAATTTATCCGGCGTAATCAGAGCTAGGCTCGTCACATGCCTAATCCTCACTAAATAAACCTTTCACCTCTAGCTTTTCACGGCTTAGGAATACGCGTTTCTCGTCGACGGGACCTCCATCGTTCCGCGAAGTCTTTTCAAAATCAGATCAGTTAGTCCCACCTGTTTGAGTTCCCGTGGCAAAATCGCAAGGAAAATGGTCGAAAACTGGCAATCCCATACTTTCCTCATGAGGGATGTCGTTCCACGGAAGGAACGAGGAAAAAGTTTACGCGCGCTTACGCCCGGGATCGGCCGCGTAACGCGCGCGGAAGAGTCAAAAACAAAGAAAGAGGGAAGGAGGAGGGAGATCTCACATTTTTTTTCCTGCCTCCCGACGTGGTCCACGTGGCCTCGTTGAAAGCGGATGGCGTCTCTCGCCCCGAATTCGTCGCAGACACGTTGAAAGCTCACATCTCTCCTCCCGCGCGCGCGCGCGCGCGCGCGTGTGGCACGTCAGAAAAGGATGAATCACGTATGCCAAACACCTGGCGCAAAAATCGATCTGACGTATCCGCGATCTCCTCTCCGCGGACGCATCAGGTACGCGCGTGCCTGCGGATTATATTTTTTTCCTCTCTCTCTCCCTCCCTCCCTCTTTTTTTCTATATTTTTTTTTGGGCCTGCTTTCAAAATTCGCGTATCGACGAACTCACCTCGACGTTTCGCGAGCGCGTTATCGCGGCCGATTCGCCGCGACTGATAAGCGCGATCGCGTTGCCAGACGTTGCTCCGATTCGCTCGACGGCCCCGACGACCGACGAAGCGTCCGCTCCACTCTATTGCCGTGCACGTACTGACGGTACTGACATCTCGCAGTCTCGCACGGCTCGCAACCTCCACCCTCCACCTCGCTCTCGCCTCTCGCACCGATCAACATGCCGCGGTGGCGCGGTCGCGGATCGCTGCGAAATTAACGACATCTGGCAATGCAGAATGAGAAATATAACCAACGAGAGGTCCCTAGAAATGAATATGAACGCGAAATGTTACCATAAGATGCAAGCCGCGTTCTGCAAAAGCGACAGCCAATTCGGAATCCAATTGGTTGAAGGCGACGAGAGATCCGTCATTTCTCATCTCGAGACGTTAGTTGCTTGTCCTTTAACAATTAAAAGTTATAATTCTACATCAATACTTGTTGATTTACATTTGTTATTAGATCGATTGTTATAATAGCATGTTCGGGAAATTCAACAGATGTCAGCTTTTTAAAGTAAATAATATTTTTTAAAATCACCGTTTTATCAAGAGATTTATCGTATTTTTATCTAAGAATTTAGTCGATGATAAACATGGGTAAATAATAATTACAATTGTGATATAATCAATGCATATTTTGCCATGATAATCGTGGAATTAAGTAAATTTACAATCTGCTGTAATCAGAGACAAATGTCATAAATCTTCAGACGAGACAAGACCATAAATCTCTCTGTCTCACTTTTCCGCTTGCGTTATAAAATAAAAGAGATCTCGTTATTACGTCAACTGATTGCGGACGATGCTCCTTCTATCTCGCGTACGTGATTCCCTCTTCCGGTCGTAATACGTCGAGTCAGGAGAGTCATCGTAATTACAGTCGTTTTATCGCGCGTGAGTATAAATAATGAATTATCCACGCGCGCGGTAAGGACTCTCTCCTCTCTTTAAAGCCGCTTCGCAACGCGTCGGCGTGACACGCGGGTCCTAGGGAAAAGTTCGACGTCACTCGCTACACCGCCGCCACCGCCGTCGTCGTCGCCGTCGCTGCCGCCGCCGTCACCGTCGACAGAGCAGAGCGAGCGAAAGAGCTTGGTCTTCCTTCCGTTCCGCGCCACGTCGTGCCGTGCCGTGCTGTGCCGTGCCGTGCTGGCCGTGTCACCGTGCAGTGGTCGTGTCAACGTAGCAATCGCGTAGCGGAGGCAGCGTATTCTCGGTCGTCGCGACGTCGTGGAACACGCGGGGCCAGGCGAGAACGAGAGAGAGAGAGAGAGTGAGAAAGGAAGAGAGAACGTAAACCGCGAGGGAGTTCGCGAGCAGTACACTCGGCGTTCACGTCGCTGCGACAAGACTCCGCGGACAGGACTCGAGCCACCGCTTTTCCTCCTTCCCCTCGGCCGCCAGTTTCCCGCCCGGCGCGAACATGAATGAGGAGTACGACGCGATCGTCCTCGGCACCGGCCTGAAGGAGTGCATCCTCTCGGGCATGCTCTCCGTCAGCGGCAAGCGGGTGCTGCACATCGACCGCAACAAGTACTACGGCGGCGAGTCGGCCTCCATCACGCCCCTCGAGGACCTGTTCAGGTGGGTACTCTTGCCCGTTGGGCACCTCCGCCCCTCCCCCACCTTTCTCGAAGTCTCCCTCGAGCAGGGTGAAAATCCAAGGGTGCATCTAGAGAGAGGGGAAGTCGTCCCTTGCGTGGGCATCGAACGCGATCCCTTCGAATCGTTCAACAATGTCAGAATGTATGTACCTCTGAACGTTTACCTTACGCGAGCCCGCCCCTTCTACCTTCCTTCTTCCGACCCCTCCTCCCACCCCGGCGGGAAACCGCCGTTGCCGCCGTCGACAGCTGGGGCCGACGTGACACGGTACGATTGCGAACATCGATCTCCTTTCCTTCCGCGATCGAAATCCCGCCGATCGATTACGCGCGCAGGAAACGAAAGAGGAAGAGAGAGAGAGAGAGAGAGAGGCGAGAGCGGAAGCGACGGAAGGGAAGAGATACGTTCTCCCGCGGGGAACGCAACGTATATCGTCGGAACTGCGCCGCACACGGGTAGAGCGAGGGGGAAGCGTTATCGATTCTCGTCATTCTCGAGCCCGCGTTCCCGCCGCGCGCGCGAAATCGTGCGGCCGCGTTTTTGACTAATTCTCCCCCTGTCCCCTCTGCGATCGATCTCGATTAATCTCTCGTCGGGATGCGGGCGACGCGCGAAGATCCGCGCTTGACGGTAGGAAAAATCGCGCCCCCGGGACGACGACGCCAATCGTCTTCGACGGGCGCGCGCGACTCTCGGCGCGACTCCACGTAGAGATTATCCACGAAATGAATTCTCATTCTGACGTCGGCAAGATCAGTCGATCTTTCTGTTGCACCGCATTACACTTTCTGCACTCGAAATGAGATAAATAGACACGACCAGACGTTGGCGAGATAAGGATGGAGAAAGCGAAAGGCTTAATTGCGAAAGGACAAGGTCGATTTTTCACTCGCGTTTTCCGTATTTAAAATGAAAACATGCCAAACGAGAAGTATACGGAAAGAAAAGGGAGAGGCGGGGGGGGGAGGGGCTAGGAAAACAGGTGGGATCTCGTGCGGAAACTGAAACGGATTTATTTATGCATGGCGTTGGGATTTTGGAGCGGAAACTATAACGCGCCGCGCCAAGCTCCGAATTCAGCGAGAGACGTTCGACGCTAATTACGAATTGCGGTCGTTGCTACCGACCGTTCGGAACAGCGGAAAGTTCGGTATTCGTCGGCCTTCGGCCAACGGTTACAATCGGATGTAGAAAGGAGAGGGCAAAAAAAAAAGAGAGTATCCGCCCTTCTCCTTCCCGCCTCCTCCTCCTGAGAGAGAGAGAGAGAGAGAGAGAGAGAGAGAACTCCGCTCTATCGAACGTCGCTGATTCACGTTCGTCGCCGTGCCGCTGACTAATAATTTGTGACCCCGCGTTAATTTCTAAATTCTCCTCAGCTCCATCGCAATTTCGCCTGCGATTCTCGGAACATCAATTAATCTTTGCACCGATAGCGATCGCTTCACTGCGGTATTCCGCACTGACGTTTCTCAAGAATCTCAAGCTGCACTCTATACACCCGTGGCCTTTCCCCTCCTCTACCGTCCGACCAACGCGCATTTTTATTTTACTTCAAGTAAAAAAAGAGAAAATTTTCGTCATACTTCTTCTGCAACAAGAATTTATACTGATATTATTGCAGAGAATATTTTAAATTAAAGTTTATGAATTGTTATGAAACATGAAAGAGAGAAGTTTTGTTAACAATTAAGATTGATTTTATACTTATTTTTGAGCAGTTAATTTTTACTTAATATATCTCTTTGTGAAATTATGATTAATTTTGTTTTTTTTTATATTTTTCCCTGTTTGCTCTTTTAATCTTTCTTCCATGCTTTTTTATTTCTATTTGTTTTCTTTTGTTTCTTACTCATTATTTTGCTCGTTTAATTATTTGTCGTTTTTTTTTTTTTTTTTTTTCATCGAATGCATGCAAACGTACTGATTTCGCTGTCAGCGGATCGCCGATATCCCCGATTACTGAGAAACTCAAGCGATAAGCGGCGATGTACAACACAAATCGACATGATTCGGTACACATCAACGTACAACACAAAGATACGGGGGATATCCACACGTGTGACGTGTACGCATCAATTTACGCGCGTGTCAATTTGCCGCTTATCGCGCGAGGAAAGGTTTTTCCATAATTCTCTCTCGACGACTCGATGCGAAACACCGCTCGCGCGTTTATCGCATTACAGCACTAATTACGTAGGAAACGCGGTCGAGCCTGGAATCATCGGGACAATTACCTTCACCGTCCCTCTTCTCTTTTCTCCTCCGGTTACACGTACAATTTCCTCCGCGAGATTTCCGCATTGAATATTCCAGCTTCCATTCGCATTGATCTTTATTAAGCCCGAGTTAATTTCGCGGGCAAGAACCATTATTTCTCGCTGCTTTCCGAGAGTTTTTGTTTTAACATAGAATGTTTTAACATAGAAGGAAATGTATCTTGTTAAATATTTTAACATATAAAACGCTCAACGTTAATTTTACACAATAAGCAGCAATTTTATTTTAATTCTAGAATATCTGCGAACTCCAATTTTAATTTTCTTTATTTACTTATGGAATTTTCCTGTTGTTACAGTCGAGACTGGACATCCCTGTTGTACAGTTAGACAAGGAACGCGACGGACGTTGTTATTGCGATGGATAAGAGAGGAAAGAGATAATGCTCGTGATAACATTGTTCCACGTTGTTTTTCCCATTCCTCTTACCGTGACATTCCGTCGCGGCGCTTTCTCGACCGCGCGATAATCGCGTTAAAAAAAAAAGCGCGACGAAATGTCAAAAGTTCGCGATTATAGGGTCTTCTACCTCTCTCGGGACTCTCCTCTCTGCTTTCCGTCCTTTCGCCGCCGCAGCTGCGTATAGGGTTCGCATTCTGTCGAAAGGCGCGGCGTCACCTGAAAAGCGCGGATATCCTGTTCGCAGCCTGACACTCGATATACCGTCCGTTATGTTCCCTCGTAACAGCACTCGCGCGAGCATGAAAGTCCGCCGAGGAGAAAGAGAAGGAGGGACTTTACTACCTCGCGCGCCGAATGCAGATGGAAAGCGGAACGACGGCCGTCGTTCCGAAGATTGCACGTAATTACGTGCCTCGCGTAAGAAACGCGAGAAACGCACGTCTGAGCGCGGCGACACGCGAGTCCCGGTGGACTTTTCCGTCTACCGGGGCGGCGGTCGTCTCGCGATCCGCGAATGCGAATCCAATGAACCCGCACAAGCGGGAGTGGCAATTAAGAAGCCGCTGTGTCGCCGCGCTCGCGTTCCGCATGTTAAAAACATGAAGAATTTAAATGAGATTCAGGATGAATCTGGACGAAAATAAAACTAATCGATACGGATGGGTCGTGTAAAGAGTAGTTTGGATGAATTCGTAGAACGTTGTTTATTTAACGTTGCAACGCCTCTACGGCCTCGCACCTTACCAAGGGGATAAAGAAACCAATAATAAAACGCGTCCGACACGAGCTCTCTCTCTCAATAAATTATCGCACGCGGTAATTCGCCTATCACTGTCAATAAATTACTGTCCTTGGATTCGCGTCGCGTTCGCGGTATCGCTCAATCATCATTTACGAACGTGTCGTCGACGTATGCGACGATTGCAGGTTCGTGAACGGCATTAAGCAAACGGCCGACGCAGCAGCCTCATATACGAAAATAATTTTCTCTGATAATTCTCAGGTCGCGGTTTCTGAGCGTAGATAAACGACCACGAAAGCGGAAGTCTGATTCAAAACCTTTTTTAATTACATGTGATGGAAATCATTCACTTGACTAATTCACTAACTGATCGACACTTTATAGGTTTACTATGTACATTTTTATGACTCGTGGTTCAAAATTTCTTCCTGAAAAATTCCATAAAGAAATTAAAAAACAGGGAGAGACTTTTATAATCCTTAATTACTCTAAAAAGCAACTACTTTAATTAAATGTAATTGAATTTAATTTCACTTTATGGGCCTTTGTTATTAGACTTACCATTATTTTAAAAGGATGTAATATAACAACGTAGATAGATTAATTATCGTAGATAAATTGACTTTTAATTATTCTTCATTATTTTGTTTAGCAAGTTCAAGGCTCCATCGCCGGACGAGAGCTACGGCCGCGGTCGGGATTGGAATGTTGACTTGATACCCAAATTCCTGATGGCAAATGGTCTTCTCGTCAAGCTGCTCATTCACACGGGCGTGACACGTTACTTGGAGTTCAAGTCGGTCGAGGGCTCGTATGTGTACAAGTCGGGCAAGATCTCGAAGGTGCCGATCGACCAGCAGGAGGCCCTGTCCAGCGACCTGATGGGCCTGTTCGAGAAGCGGCGGTTCCGCAGCTTCCTCATATGGGTGCAGAACATGCAGGAGGACGATCCTAAGACGTGGGATGGCTTCGATCCCTTCAACAACACAATGAGCGCACTGTACAGCAAGTTCAGCCTGGATAAGAACACGCAGGACTTCACTGGACACGCGTTAGCGTTGTACAGGTAATAATCGACAAAGGTTGACTTTGTAGAGCGCGAGTAATTTGTGAAATTTAAAGAGTCCATAAAATATGAAGAATATTTATCGCTCCGTTGAACTCAAAGTGCAATTTATAGAAATATACATTTGCCATGTATTTCTGAGTTTATTTATTTATTTTTTAAGAGTGTTAATATCTGTGTTTCAAGGGATGATGACTACATAGGCCAAACCGCGATAACCACCATCAGAAGAATTAAACTATATAGTGATAGTTTAGCGCGATATGGAAAATCGCCGTATCTCTATCCAATGTATGGTCTGGGTGAACTTCCCCAGGGATTCGCCCGTCTTAGCGCTATTTACGGCGGCACATACATGCTGGACAAGCCGATTGACGAAATCGTCATCAAGGACGGCAAGGTAACTTTCGCGTTTGCCGTATCTTTGCAAACTAAACTTGCCACGTAGTCACGGAAATTAACTTTTGTTTCGCGCAGGTGGTCGGCGTCCGTTCCGGCGATGAGGTAGCTCAATGCAAACAAGTTTTTTGTGATCCCACGTACGTATCTGATCGCGTGAAGAAGGTCGGTCAAGTGATAAGATGCATATGTCTCATGGATCATCCTATACCAAGCACAGCTGACGCATTGTCTACGCAAATCATCATTCCTCAGAAGCAGGTAATTGACGATTAATTTTATCTCGCGTATACATAAAATGTATAGTAATATGAGTAAACTCTGCAATCGCTTCTTTAATTTTGATATTCTAAAAAAAAAATTGTTCACTTTAAAATCCAGCGAAAGTCATTTATTTTCTGTGTAGACGTGAACTTGTTATTGTAATATTCGTAAACTTTGTCTTATATCTCTAATCAAATACTTCTTTTCTCTTCTTTCCTCAGGTTGGTCGTAATTCTGACATATACGTGTCTCTCGTGTCGCACACTCACCAAGTCGCGGCAAAGGGCTGGTTCATCGCCATGGTCTCGACCACGGTGGAGACAAAGAATCCGGAGGTCGAGATCAAGCCCGGCCTGGATCTGCTCGGCCCGGTCAAGCAGAAGTTTATCAGCATCTCCGATTACATGGTGCCGGTGGACGACGGTCTCAACAGCCAGATATTCATATCCACCAGCTACGACGCTACCACGCACTTCGAGACCACCTGCTTAGACGTGCTCGACATATTCAAGCGCGCCACCGGCGAGGAGTTCGACTTCAACAAGGTCAAGCACGAACTCGGCGATGAGGATCAGTAACCGTAATCACGGAATGCGCGCGTGCATGTACATCACACGACATTATCGGGGAAATCAAAGCGCCCAGTGTATTTGCGTATTCGAGTAGAAAGGAAAAAACCATCGCTCGACGATTGCCGACCGCGTCGGCATGCGACAGTGTCTCAAGGCAGATGTCCCACGGAACAAGTCACGCTGCGAGCAGACCTGTGCCTAATTATGTAGGTTTCTCTTTGATAGAGAATGAAAAACGGAAGGCAAAGCTGGCTAAAAATCTCTCTATCAAACTTCTCTCTGTTTCACTACCCTCCTCATCCTGTTCCTACACGACAGAGTCTTGTCCGAAGCGCACGAATTCTCCACACTCACACGGAAAAGAACTCTCGGACTCTATTTCTACGATTTCGGACACCGGATTATATAAGGTTAGATCCTCTTATAAATTTATATTTTACACGAAACATGAATCCAATCTGCCAATACAGATTTAAACGGAGATGAATAATAAAGAAAGGAAATAAAGGTAATTAAGACGTCCGTGTCACAGCGTGTATACAATACCTATGTACCATATTTTAATATATTGAAATAAGTGAAACCGTTTGTCGGCAGATAACGAGAGATTAAATTGTACAAAAAATTCTACAGCTACTGTAGCAACATCATCATGTTGCTACAAAAGGCTACAATATATTGTTAAACTGACAACTAACGATACAATGTAAGTCTCATATCTCTGTTTAGATTAGCATCGGTAATTCCTATAGATGTAGAAATATTTCTGAAAAGAGACTCGGTTGTTTTGCATCTTGAAAAAATTTGCCCATATTTCGACGTTAGTTTTAGGTTATTTAAGTTGCATTTATCGTTTCGAACAAATTAGTCGAGCAATGATATAGTTTTATACGAAATGCCAAACGGTGGCCGAAGGTATTCCGTTGCTTTTTTCCTTGCATATTGACCGTGTAGCAAAATTAGGAAGTAACAAGATATGATGCGTTACTCGATGCGCATACTCGCGTATACAATTGTATGTTTCATCTTTCACATTTGTTCAAGAAACGCTCGTTTAGGAAACAAGTCTTATCTATCAATAGCACGATTAGATATCTTCAACGTACGTTCAGAGACAAAATTAGGAATAGGGAAGTCGCATGCCCATACACGCTTGAGACAAAGTCGACGGCAAATGGGAGGGAGAAAAAAAAAACGAAAAAAAAAAAGAAACGAAGGTTGATTCGTTGAAACGAAGAAAGATATCCGGAGCGGCCAAGCATTTCATTATAGATATATTATAGATCTATATAGTATATATATTATATATTACAAAAAAGATATGTATACATATATATATATATAAATATGAGAAAATGGAGTCGTTGAAATATTGTTGTTTCGTGTGAGCTTGAGATTCTGGACTATTTCACTTGCATAATAAATCATTATTGTATCGTTACCTGATAAGGAAAGGGGACAAGTGAGCGCGAACATTCGCATGCACATCGATCAATTTCATTTAACGGCATATGTACGAAGAAGAAGAAGAAACGAAAAAACGGCCGTTTTCCTAGAATCACGTTTTGCTTGCACTCTCGCATGGGTTACGATGGGCACACGCAATTTCACTTTACGTATGAAAATCCGATGGGAAACGGGTATACTCAGATAACAAACACTTGTCTCAACTGCAACAGATACGTCATTATCCATCAACTTGTAACACGAGAGCTGAATGGAATAAACGATATTGTATTAACCATGTATCTTTGCAATTCCGATCTAATCTTGTTTAACACATCGACGGATGTGAAGAATCTAATATACGACTAGTCGCGTTCAGTTATGAATTTTCATATAAAGTATCACACATTTAACCAAGTCTCAAAACGTATAGATTGTTGTCTCTGCATCCCAAAACTGCGAGATCGTTGTGAACGACCGGCGAAGAAAACGTTTCGCCGGGAAGTTGCTTGGTCGCTAACAATTTGCCCTCTAGAAGATCGAATACTTTGAAGATGCCGTCTGTGCATACCACAAACATGTATCCATCTTCGCACCAAGAGGTCGCGAAAATAGGCGACTGCATTTGTAACATGTATCTCAATTTGGGCTCGTTTTCGTCAACAGTCCTTCGTGGCACTTCGAGACAATACAGATTTTTATTATGACTAGCTAGTATGACGTGCTCGTCGTTCGTAGACTTGGTAGTCCATATCACAGGATACGAAAATACATTGCCGTATATCACATACCGCCACATCTGCGATAATAAAAAGTATATCGTCAATAGAACACATCGAGCAACAAAAGGAAGGCATAGGTACATTTACCTGGCAGTCAGTTTCGATATCGAAACAATACAGGGTACCAGCTACAGAACAAAATAAAGCGTATCCAGTCCGGAGAACGACAGGCGCGACGAATATCGGATCGTGCAGTTTACGGTACCATATGACACGTCCCGAAGATTGCTGTAAGGCCAGGCACGAGCCGTCTAATGTCCCGAAAAGAACTGAAGTCGACTGCTGATGCAAGCAACCGGTAGCACAAATTCCACCTTGGCTCGCTTTAGTTTTCCAAATTTGAGTACCATTCTGTGGGATGACGGGTCTCTTTATACTTAGATAAAGCACGTACTTGGATCATTTATCGTATAATTTTAATTAATGACATCGAGACATAGATAATTAATAATAGTACTTGATTAAAAAATGCCGCCTACCTCCGTCGAGAGACAATATACATGGCAGTCATAAGAACCCACAAATATTTTGCTCCCTTGCATACATGTTATCGCCGTGCATTTAATCATGTCCTGTGTTTGAAATTTCCAAATTATGTCACCAGTCTTTAAATGGACGCAGTAAATGTATCCATCGTAACAGCCTACGATTAAAAATCGTTATTTGATCAATATTAATCGTTAAAGTGCAATATATCAATAGGGGGCTTACCTACAATTCCGTGAAAATTGGCTAGAACTAAAACAGAAGCTTCTATTCTGTCTGGTAGTTTTATTTCATACGACACATCGGTTTTGAGTAAATTAGCAGTACATATAATGCCGGAATGTGAAGCGACCGTTGCGTGCAATTCTTCTCTAAAAATTAACGTTATGTATTAGTATTATTTTGAGTTTTAGATTCACTCCCTGAAGTGTTGATTAAGATTTATCATGTTTTTACTAAAAAATAATTTTTTTTCTTCAAAATTATTCTTACACGGAATAACGGTATACAGTTGGCGAGGCATCGACGCACTTCTGCAAATTATAAGTTGCTAATACTTCAACGCTCGATATATTTTCTAAGAGAGATTTGATATTTTCTTCTTTCGTTAATGTATCGCCATAAGTCTTTCCCCTGCATTTGTACCACTGATAAGGATGCTCCTCATTTGATAACAGTAAATTCTTTTGTGATGATTGTTTTATCATACAATTTTCTGTATTAAGTGTTTTCTTGGTATCCTTATTAAATATCTTATTAAAAGGCATACCGATGGAATGTCCGACAGCTTTGTCGCTATCTCGACCAATTAAAATACTCCTGATATAATGAACGCACTTGTCGGATGTAAAGTCTTTCAGTAACATACCAATCAATTCAGGAAATTCCATATTAAAGGCTTGAGCGGCAGCGCTTGAGAGCTGAAGTGCTGCTATTGATGTACCGCCTGACGTTAAAAAGCCAGCGTCGTCTCTAGATTTTACATGATTACACCACAAGTTTTCAAAGATCTCATACGCGTTAACGTGCGAGTTATTTACACTGACAACTTCTGTTTCGGAGTTCGTACATATTTCTCTCAGTGATGCCTGGCAAATCTTTCCACTAGCAGTAAAGTTAAAACGTTCTACTATGATTATCTTGTCGGGCTTACAGGTCGATGGTAATATCTTTAAGTGCAGCATTATATCATCTCTCAATTTAGAAGATTCCTCTTTCGTATTTGTAGTCGACAAACATAGATATAATTTGTGATTCCCTGCATCCCAAAATGTAGCACAATTTCGTACGAAACTCAATTCCGTCGCGACTCTCTCGAGCTCTCGCAAGTTCACCCTGTTTCCAAATCTTTTTACAATATTATTTCGTCTTCCTCTATAAAATATTCTACGTTGATCGTCTGCCTGAAAGAAAAAAAAAACAAATTTGAACAAGCAAACTCATCTTTGTTATTGAAAATAATTTTGGATACGTTAAGTCCTAAAATTTGTTCTCTCAATAATTAATTTGTAAATAGAACTTACGGAAACAATGTCGCCAGTATCGCGAAAAACTGGCTTATCCAGATCCTCAGTTTCATTTCCAACAATGCAAATCCTAGTAGTACTTCCTGTTGAAGACAAATGTGTGAAAAATATAGTTTATGTAAAAATAAGTTCCATAAAAATGTTTTACACATTCGTAATGTTAAAAGCTAACCGATATAAAGAGTGCCATCGCCCTTAATTATTACTTCATCTTCATTTCTGATTTGAAATATAGTTTCCGATAAAGGTTCACCTAGGCAAGGCTCATCTACATCGTTTTCGACAATTTCCCTAATGCTAGACCAACACGATATTTCGGTTATACCGTAGATGTTAAACAATCGTGTCGTATTCTGCGGATGACTAGCTTTCGAAAGCAATTTCATGCTGGGGAACGGTTCTCCACCCAAAAGAAGAACTCTTAGTCTCGAATCTTTGTCTAGGATTGTTGTTCTCAAGCGTTCGGTAGACCACTGATGGAGGAGAAGCGATGGAGTGATTTGAAGAACTGTTACACGAGCATGAAATATTTTCTCCAAGAGCCTAAAAAATGTTCATATTTCTGTACTGTGAATTCTATCTTATTTTCTTTTAGCATTTATTTATCGTCATAAATTTCTTAATATTACTCACCTAACAGCCTCATTTTTTAATGCTTTCGAAACCATAAATAGAGTTGCAGCGCTACAAAGACTTAAGAAAATTTCAATGATACTAGGATCAAAAGTAAAATTTGTCAGTTGTGCAATTTTATCGGAACTCGTTACATCCAAGATTTTCTTTAAATCCCTAATATTAGGTAATATACAGGCGTGGGGTACTTTGACAACTTTTGGTGTTCCAGTTGATCCTGAAGTGGTAATCGCATACGCAAAGTGATACCACTTTTTACTAGTTTCTTGGACGTCTACCAATTTTGTCAAATATACCGGCTGTCCATGAATGTCGAATTGACGTATGATTTTTCTGTTGGGTATTACAGATGTTGTAAAAATATATTTCACATTTAAAGAAGTAAATATCTCTGTGCATGCCAATGAATCTGTTGGTACATTGAAGAAAGCATGTCCGCTGTCGAGGATTCTGTTGAAGTAAATTTAAAATAAATTTTCCAATTAAATACATTTGATATAAAAATAATGACAAAATTACCCAAGCATTAATGAAGGCACGCAGTACTCCAAAATGTCAAAGTCAATACCAATAAATTCAGAACACGCTATACATTTCAAATGACTAGAAACTATTTCTTTCGCAATTTTCAGTTCTCCGTAACTTATAATCTGAACGTTTTCCAAATTGTAATATTCTATAGCTGGTTTGTCAAGATAAAACCAATTGCATTCATTGTGTAAAACTTGTGAACTACTTTTGCCATTTTGTGCCTTCAATCCTTCAATACAATTACCTAAAAAGGATAAGAAATTCGATACATGACATCGTATGCATTTAAAAATGATTCTTTTTATTACAAACAAAAATCTATATAATTATGTATAAATAATTGCTTGTACTCACTTGTTTGGCTCATAGTAGATTACATACAGATAGATTACTTAGTAGCTCATACAGATTTCAACGTATCCACTCTGGCATTACATTTAAAAAATATATTCCTTTGACGATTTAACATATATTAATTTAATCAAAGTAATTTTTTGCGTAATATGAATAAAATAAGAAGGTATTAAATATTTATTTAAATTGAGCCTCGTATTACAGGTTATATTTTGACGTTGAGGTTAGGAGACACAGGTTTGAGGTTAAGGTTCTCAACCTATAATCCTACCACTGTTAATAGTGAATGTTACAAATCGTGTTACATACAAAAGTTAGAGGAAAAAAATTATAACTTGCAAAATTTAATTGAATAATCCTTTTTATTTGAAATTAGCACGTTTTCGAAGAATTTGAAGGATGCAGCAGAAAATAAATTTAAGGTTTATAATTTTTAATAATACTTCCAAGTTTATTTAATATCATTAAACCACATAGACTCTTAAATATAAATTTAAAATTTTATACTATGTAAATTCATTAGCGTTATCTAAAGTGGTATGCTAGAAGCTCGCAAATGAGAGAAGATTCATAGTTAAAGTATATTATGCTTATAAATGTTACTAGAAATATTCGAATCTATCAAACTTCAAAGAGTGAAATATGTAAGTGTACATTTCAAAGTAATACAGTCATTATTCTATCTTTATTTAATTATTGAAATAAATAACAATGGACCTACGTGATACATATGTATACAATGTTATTTGATTTTGACCATGATTAACTAGGATCTTCTCGTAAAGAGAAACTGCCACACAAAAATTTATTAAAATAACATTAATTGTGGTTAAGTTCGACACATCTAGTAACGCAATGACGAATCTAATGAATATTCCAAAAAGATTTTACGCGATCGTAAGTAATCGCAATTCCGGTTTATTTCTCCTCGCACCATTCATTCTCCTTGCGCACTTGTTCCTCCTCAGAAGCCGTGAAGTCATTCTTGATGTTGAAAGTTTTACGTATCTCTTCAGGCGTCTTGCCTTTGATCATGTTCGCAACAGTTTTGCAAGTAACGTCCAAGAGTCCCTTGATATCTAAATAATTAGCTGCCAAGATTAGCTCAAAGAGTGTCCCTTGATCGACCTATGCAATAAACACATATTTATATTTAGACAAGAATACTAATACTTTTAACACATACAATAAAGAATTATTGAAAATTTCGCGATTTAACCGTTTTCATATTTCTATTAAATATATATCTTTACATTAATTTGTGTACAACGGTTTTAATGTGCACCAAGTGTAGATGTAGATTGACTTTATTAGATATTCACCTTTAAGAAATCTGCATCCCAAGAACTAATATCATCTGTACGCTTTTCTTTGTTTTCATCGTCTTCTGGGGGTGGTGGGTCGTCTTTGTGATAGGTGGCCCATTGTATGACCTTTCGTAATATTGCAGAATTAACGTTTGGAAGAGGCACAACCTCTTCCTCATCCTCATCCATACCAAGATCTTCCAACATGGTCTTGATGGTGACCGAACATTTAGCAATTTCAACATCAACCTCAAATACCTCGCCATCAGAGCTTTGTAGCTTTATGTTAGGCATCTACACAAAGACAGATTTGGTTATAGCTAAACAATGCTTTGGTAATGCTTTAAATCAAGCTGCCTTTAGATTTTCGATTTTTGAAGGTTCTTTCACGAATTAAGAATAACTCGTAAAGAGTTTTAATGGCTGTGCAGAATAAAAGGAATAGGAAACAGAGAATAAGAATTTCAACCTATTCAGAAGCCATATATGTACTATGAAATTCTTATTCTCTATTTCCTGTTCTCTATTTGATTACACGGAGCTGCTTCCTCTTTCCTTCTATTTGTTGAGAAATTAACAATTATTTAAATAAGACAAAAATTTAATTAGAAGAAAATTATTCTGGATTTATTTTATTATTCTGAAATAATTTCGACAATAATCGAGAATTCCACGTGTATAAGAAAAAAATTAAAAGTGAAAATGAAAAAGTCGATTCGGACTTCGATAAAAAGAAAAGGAGCTACATTTACATATAGTAAATGTTTAACTGATTTCTATTTTGTAACGTATGTACGTAAAAAAAAAAACCACTTGTGCTATATAAGAACGATCCCAACCTATTTTTTTCTAATAACTTTCAACTATTTAAATTGAAGGCACAATAAATCTATAAAAAAATAATAATAATAATAACTTCCAACGATTGAAAATATTTTTCCAATCGTTAAAAGTTACTAGAAAAACTAAATTGGGATCATTCATCATCATGCGAGTATCTTTCCTACGTACGAGGCGAACGAATTACAAAATTATCGCCGAGCCCTAACCTAGCCCTCTTTCCACGCGATTCCCAATTCGCCATTTTATCATTTGTTATTCCCGTCGCTCCGTCATTCCCTTTTGTTATGCAGGTAAATAACGTTCTCGTTTTGCGCGATGCATTGACTATTAGCTGAACATAATCGTAATAGAAGAATTGATCACCTTTCCGATCGCAGAAGATACGTCAATAGTCTAGAGGTGTCTATTGGTTCGTCGCTCCTCGCCTTTCTCGCACAAACCCACGCCTTTCTTTCTTGCTACCTTCTCTTCCTCTGATTCTTTCTTCCTCGCTGGATCACGTCGATCCGCAATCATCCGCAATAAAACTCGATTAGCCGATGCACGTTCCTCCTTTTCCTGATTGACGACGAATCGGACGAATGTCGGAGTCGTCGGAGAGCACAAGGGGACGCGGAAAGTGGACTCAGCAAAACGGCTGTTTTTTTCCTCGCACGGTACTGCTCCATCTACAGGCACTTGGAGGCTAAAACTCATACGCGAATTGGCCGTCACGACGGTAGATGACGCCACGAGGCACTTTTCTCGCATTGTGTATGTGTTGTACAGTACGAAATGCAAAGACTGAACCACAGTCACACATCGTGACCATTGAGTAAAAAGACACATGTCTTTTTACTCAATGATCGTGACACATAATTTTATAAATAATAATGCGATAGACATTTGAAGGACATTGGTATAAGATGCGATTTAGCTATAATTAATAGAAACAATTAAGTATAGACAAATGTCATGAGAATAGAAACGATAAAAATAGTTACGTTATTTTTTTTTTTAGTAAACAAATCCAATTTAATTAATTTCCCGGGAAAAAAAGTTTCACATATAATTATATATAATTATATGCAAAATATATGTTTCTTTTCATTGTAAAATTATTCATTAATACACAATTGATAATAATAAGAAGGAAACATAAAAAATAATTAAAAGAATAATTTTTACATTGTTTTTTTTACAAAAAATAAAATTTATAGAAATGAGAAAAATTGCTCATATATAAATTAACATATATAAGTGATTAAAAATATGCATATATAATTATATATGAACAATTTTTGTCATTTCTTCAAACTTGACTTTTTGTAAAAAAAAAACAATGTAAAAAATATTCTTTTAATTATTTTTTATGTTTTCTTCTTATTATTACAACTTTGTATTAAAAAATAAATTTACAAAGGAAAGAAACATATATGGACATATTTTGCATATAATATTATATATAATTATATGTGAAACCGGGAATTATTAATGGACAGATATATATATAATTTCAATACACCTATAATTGATGCATATTTTTATCTTTCAAGCAGTTCCTTTTAATTGTAACACAATTATAGACATATATATGAGGCTGTACGTTTATCCAAGTAAAAAGCCAAATAATACTTTATTCAAAAAACGTCCACAGTTGTTAACATACAGAATTGATAACATATAGAAGAATAATCGAGTAATAATTCGAGCTACATGTATTTATGATTTTTTTATAGCACGTATACGTGTCTAATTATTGCTCGACCAACACGTGCTAGGACAAAAATTACATATAAGATAGATGAATTAAATTAACACTGGATTAAAAAAGCAAGAAGCAGAGAAATTATCAGACTGAAGAAAATGTCTCTCGTTATTTTGTTAGTTTCGATAGAATTTTATAATTTTTCAGATTGATAAGAAAAGAATGGAAGACTTTTGGAGAAGGGTGGAGAACAGACCCGCGTCGCAGAAAATTCTTTTGCATCAAATCCGATAGACATCAGATCGTCAACTTTAATCCGTTAATTTTCACGTTTCAATGCTCCTCGAAAGTCCCTTAATAAAAGATTGCGACACGAAATAACGTCGTAAATTTCGCGATCGCAGGAAGAACCCGTCGTTACCGCGATTATGATCGAGTATACCGAAGTCACCGACCTTTGCCACGGCCGCGCGCGCGATCGCGCCGCCGTAATCACATCTTCTTCTTTTTTTCTCTGAGTCTCCCTCGGTGGAGCCGATAGAAGGATCGAATGTGACGTCGCAATTTTTGGAGGCCACAGGATTACGCAGAAACTCCGGCTTCGACTCCGGGAATCTATAAAGTTCGCGATGCACGCGGAATGAACGGCCGGCGCCAGCGCCCACGCAAAGCTCACAACAACCGTAAACACGCGATACACGTATACAAAGCTGTTCGTCAGAAATGGGTTCCGTCTTGCGGTTTGACCCTCCCGTCCGACGGTCCCGCCCCATTAGAAAAAAATCCGTCTCTTCGTTTTTCAATCTTTACTTTTTCGATCAGGATTGGGGAAGAACGTCGAGAAAAGGAGATCCTTTGTGTGTGATCACGTTGACATAAATGCGCGTTTCAAGGTTGCGAGAGATTTACGGAAGAGAGATATATAATATGGGGGAAAAGAAAACTAAAAAAAACTCACGCTTTTCTTCCCTAAAACGTATAAGAACTTATAAAGTGTATAGTGAGCGGAACAAATAGCGAATAAAATACGTCATGTACTTACTGGGATTTCTTAAATTTGAAGTTTCATTAATTTTTGAAAAATTATAATGATTATAGCACTCAATGTAACATGCAAGTCGTTTGAACGATCACTTAATTACTATTAACATTAATTATCGTGCTTGAATCGACTTTTTCTATAAGCTACAGTTTCATTTAATCTCTCAATTCTTTTCTTATCATTCTTAAATGTATTCTTTGACTGCGAGTTTTTACAAATGTTGGGATTTTTCGATTTCGAGGTGAAAAAGGAAATCTAATCAAAAGATCGAAGAAAGAAATAAATATTTATAAGAAGGCGAACCGCATTCTCTTTGATTCGCAAGATCTATATTACATTACGTAATAATGTCGATTAATTGAACGACGAGTTACATATTGTCGGGGGTGGTAATGGAAAGGCAAAAGTTCGCGATCAATGCGTTTCCCTTGCGCATGCTGCAATCGCCAGTCATTCAGCGATCGATTGTCAATCAATTTGCTGGTGGTGAGAGTTGCGTAAGAGCGTTTAGATCGGCTGTTAATTCAGTCTTCTGGAAAGTCACGGGCGTGTTATAGTGCGCTCTCTTATTGAAGAAGCTGCAAAAGTCTGAAGAGCGAAATTATATCCCGCAATTCAACGGGCGCGGAACCACGCGGTTAAAGTTCATCGCCGCGTGATCGAACTTTAGCCGTTTCAATTCGATAATCTATTATTACCGTTTCGATTAGTTGCCCGAGCTGTTCTTATCACCGCTTTGTAAATTTTGGGATCACAAAATTTTGACGTTTCCGCACGGAAATAATTTAGTTTCCATTAAAAAATTGTACAACGTTCATTGCAATTTAAGTTAAAGATGAAAGTTAATATCTAAAAAAAAATATCAGAAAAGCGGATAATTTTATGAAATTTTTAACATCTTCTGAAACAAGGCCTCTTTATATAAACTTTTTTTAATGAAAAATCAACTCTTAATTAAACTATTGAAGAAAACTAAAAATCCTGTATACATCATTTTATCCGAGCATTCGTTGACAGTCTGCGATGACTGCCATAGGATATATGAGTGGGCGTTAAGTCAAACATCCTTTAATTTAGAAAAATAGTTTACCTTTGAGATTGATGCGACTAGCAATTCATGCGTTCAAGACTGCTATTAAGCCATCGAAATGTTTTCTCTCTTTTTCTTTTTCTACCTCTGCCAAGAGAAAGTAGTGTAGTCTTGCGTCTTTTGAGCGACGTCTCAATTTCTTTCGCAAAGTGAATCGCGACGACGGCGTCTTTCACTGCAACACATTAAAAAAAAATATCCAACATTGTCGCTTGAATTTAATACAGAAATTAAAAAGATCATTTTGTAACTTTCGCGTTTGTTGGGAAGAGAGATAAGCAAGTTACTTTATCCTGGAGAGAAAGGAATACTCTTAGCTTATTATTACACGATATCTGCAAAGATATTTACGGAAGTTTAGAGACAAGACACCAAACGACCCACGATATATGTGAATTCATTCACGCTGTCTGTCGATATTTCTAATCTATCGTCTTCGTTACGATGCAAATATGGCATTGATAATAAGTTGCGGAAGACAGAAAAACATTTTTATTCACTTTATAAAATAGATATTTCAATCCGAACAGATTTTTCATTAATGATATTTAGAAATTAAAATAAAATTTATCGACGCTTTATCACTAACAACGTTTAAGATGACAGGTGATTTAATGTGATACTTCTATAAATGCCTGCACGATGTACCTACAATAATTTAGATGCAGATTAAATCTCCGTTTTATACAATCACTAATTGCGTATAAATTTATGACTCAATCTATCTTAGAATGCAATTATGCAGCTCGGCATTTGCCGATAAAAACAAACGGGTGCAACATTACACGGCAGCAAAGCTTCCCTTTGAGGGCACGTCTACTCAATTACGATAAAAATTGTATAAAGCGGTGTTAATCGGATCGCAAGCTGCTGAAATTGCCCGCTGGCGATTGTGGCAAATCGGGAAAACGAGCGTAAAGGATATACGAGTGCTTTGAGAAGACATTGTACTTATCGTCGCGAGGATATGCGTTTCTACGTAACGATTTACGTTTATGAATATATTGAATTATACAGTTACTTCAGAGAAGCTGGAGAAACGAAGGCGCCGCGAAGTCTGTTTTCCGTCTCCCGTTGACGTGCACACAATTCGCTATTAGTAATCGTTTTTATTAATTATTCATTTCTTATAATATGACATTAAAAGAGAGAAACTTATTACGCGACAGCTGACAAAGTAAGACAGCGGAATTGAGATCGAAGTTACAGTAAATGATTAAAAAGTACGTAAAATGTATAATATTAATTTTTATTTTATTTATTACGTTTTAAACTTCGAGAATAGAGATTTAATGGAAGTTTTAAGCTCTGTTCCTTTCTCAGCGATAGTTATAGAAAAAAATTCTCTAATTTTTAAAGTCAAATGAAAATTATGAATGTTATGTCTGTGAATTTGTAGAAAAAGACACATTTTTTTGTGATATTTTCATTCAATGAAAATATTGAATGAAAGTCATGTCATTTAATGGTGAAAACATAGTGACAGAATTATTCCATTGGCAAGAATAACAAATCGAATCGAAGACAGTAAGTAGAAACGAATTTCGCAACGAGGGTGATAAACTGTCTCCTCCGAGATATTCAACGACCATCAAGTTATGTTGTTTATCCAACAAATCGTTACATGACTGTTATACCTTCGTGAATTGCTTTGTGTTTTCAATTAATGATGCTTTCTATCGCGCCACCTTATCGGCGTTGCACTGGCCCCGAAATCGTGGCATAAGCTTTTATATGTTCATGCATGATTACAAATCGTTCGCGTTCTCAATTAATCATACGTACGCTTTATCGCGTTATTGATATATGATTTATATGTCTATCAAATTAATTGAAGTGTACCGCGATTTTGCTATTTATGATTGCACGTTATGACCGAAATGCAATTGTGGTTCCATGTACCGGGACCTTGGGACGTTAATACGTTAAATATCGTACAGCCCGCTTAGTGAAAAGATACGTGATCTTATCTTAAATACTCGTTAGCCATTGCAAAAATGCGTGAACTTATTATGCCCATAAAACAGTGTATGTAATATGCATGTGTAATTTTATTGCATTAATTGAATTGAACCTTTTTCAAATATTATACGCTAAAAGCGTCATTGCGTGCCATAAACTTTCAAATCCAAATCATTTTTGTTAATTAAGAAAAACGAAATTACACGCAATACAATAACGATAAAATTTTCGGAGTGGATACGTTTTTACAGTTGGTGTTTCTGTTGATACTGTTTAGCATTCTTTATTTTTATTTTTATCTTTTTTCTTCGTGTAATACTGCTACTAAAATATAGTGCTATTATATAATTCCAAGAAATGTATGCATAAACAAAGTTTTTTCCGTAATTTGCATTGTTCGAGCGTCGCTCATTGTGTACGTTACCGGTTGGCGTATACATTTGGTCGTACTACTTGGTATTCCGATGTGGGACGGATACAGGCGCGTAATCGCGAAAATAAATTTATTTTTTTGCGTTGTATCGACAATATCTTGACGAGTCTCGCCTATACTTTCCAACGAGATCCAGCTGACAAGCGTCAATTATTCTTAATTAATTGATCGAATGATTCGCGCAGATTATTACACGGATCCTTTTCGAGGACAGCGAAGGGAAATCCGAGTCCATAATAATAAAGATATAACTATACGTTGATGGCAGGAGGGGGGATCGTAATTTATAAAAGATCACGAAAAATCTCGTCCCGCTATGTATGATTGTGAAATACTTTGTGAATTTCCTGGAAATTTTTATATACGAACGCAGGACGATGGTAAAAATTAAAAAAAAAAAGAAAAAGGGAACGTGAACGTTTTTCCTTTGGAAGTGAGCTTGCAGGATTTTCTTGCATCGCGATGAATGGAATTGTGGTTACGTACGTAGAATGTGAAATCAATGTTTGCTTGTATATACAAATTCTGCGTAAATAAGCAACGATGATTCTCGTCAGAGAGATTGCGATTCTTAGAAATAACCTTTTGCGCTTCCGCAAATCGCATCGATATCTCGTAGAATTTTGTTACTGCGTGTGGCGTGGGTGCGCATCACTCGCGGCGCCGTAATTGCATCAAATGCGCGTTCACGGTCGTCACGTATGTCTCGGCAATGAAGTATACAGTTTATCTTAAATAAATCCATGATCTATCATAATCTTCGCTTGCAATTACTACGATTAAATCCCGGCAATGCGACCACTACATTGGCGTCAGTTTGACCCCGATAAGTAAAGGGTATCGCAATTTTACGATAACAATTTTATGAATCGAAAATAATTATATTTTTCAATATTTCCTTTGTTGGAAAAATGACGAAAATATCTACACAAAGTTACGAAGATATTAGAAAAGATCAAAATATAAATATTTCTTTTTTTCTGATACTTTATAAGATATCTTTTATCTTTCTTATTTTGTGAAATATTGACAGTTTATGAGAAAAAATAAAAAACTGCCTTTGATAAAAAGCTAGAAATTTTATTATCTTATACAATATAGTTCATGTAACAATTATATCTATAACGATTACGTGTGCGTGAAGATTTAAGCATGTCAAGAAAATATACACTTTCCCAAATATTAAAATTTTACGAATATGCGGGGAAGAGATTTCGAGTGCTTTTTGCGCAATGAAATGAAAGATCTCCCAGTAGAAGAGCCGAATAATGAAACCACTGTAATTTTTGACTGCGTGCATTCGGTACATTTTATTTGTAAAAACTTAGCATAAATGTCAAAGTCGAAACTAGAAAATTCATCCGGGTTTTCTCGACAATAGGATAATATTCCGACGACAGCTAAAGTACCTAAGTTTTTTTTTATAAGAGCAAAAAGAGTAAAAAGGCGAGCCTGAGGCTATCGATAAAAGCGCATTCGAAGGAAACCCGTGCGTTGCAACTGTACATATATTCCGCCGCTTACGACGGTCACCCTTCACGCTACGATAATGAAAATCCCCCTTATACTCTTGCGAGGATATTATTTACGAGCCGTTTGTACCCGAAGCATGTACGTCCGCCCTCGTAGCTCCAACAATCACGTCTCTATCTCTCAGTCGCGACTTTTCATTTCAGTTTTGCACGAACGAAATTCAACCCCTCTTTCTCTCCATCAATCCCTCTACCCCCCTTTCTCTCTCTCTCTCTCTCTCTCTCTATGCTCTCATACCTTTTGGGTGGAGACCGCGGTGGTGACGATGACGTAAAAGGATACGGTGCCAGGATACGCACCCTCGGACGAGCAGGAGGACGAACAGAGGAGGAATGCGTACGTCCATCGGCGACGGTGGTGGTGGATACGTGGCGCCCACCAGAGAGAGCCGATCCGCTCTTGCTCTCTCGCGAGCTCCACGAAGAACGGGGGGATAGGAGAGAGTAGGGGGTGGGAAAGAGTAGCGAGGGGGATGGGAAAGAGAGAGAGAGAGAGAGAGAGAGAGAGAGCGAGCCCGCGGTATAAATGTAGCCCGCGCGAGTACCACCAATCATTCGCCCTCTGACCTCGAAACTCTCTCAGAGCTCTCTTTCTGGTCTTCTCCAGCTGTTTCGCGGTACCAAAACGTACCCCCCTGCTACCAGCTTACCACGCCGCGAGGATCATCCCCGTTCCACCGATTGCCCGGCAATAGCCGTCACTTGTGACGAGATCCGCGACTTGTGAAGAAGAGGAAGAGAAGAGATTTAAGGCGGGCCCCTGAAGACAGACGGGACCAGTGTTACCGTGGTTATACAGCGAGAGACAACAGAGCGGAAGGTTTTTTCAACAGCAAGATGACGATCGTGAGTATCACGTTTACGAATAATATAATTTAAAAAAGTCGCGGACCAATATTTAGAGCACGATTTCTTTTCCTCCGTCTTCCCTTTTTTTTTAATCGTGTTTCTTGTCTCCGATTTGCGTCCCGCTTTTCTTCCCCCCCCCTCCCGTGAACGAGGATGATAGTTTGTAGAGGCACAAAGACCGTCTCGACGAAGTGGTTAATCGTAAACGATATCGATTTCTTTTTTCCTTCTTTTATATTGAAGCAACGTAACGAGGCGAGGAAAAATTTGTTTTTGCGATGATGACATTGAAAATTTCTGCGGAACAGAGAATGTCTCGTAGATGAAGGAGGAAAAAATTTTCGATGACGCAAGACGATGCGACGCCTCTTGTGCACCATTTTTTTTTCGCTTCGGGAATTCGGAGACGACCGTCTGTTTTAAATTTAATAAACGAGAATACGAGGCAATTTACTTACACTCGCGGATTTGTTACTTCAGTAACGTCAGATCGTAAAGGTATCGGTTGCCGAAAGCCATAAAAATCTCGCGGTGGAGAGAAAGTTGGGGAAGCGGCTCGTTTATGGAAGATTAGTCGTCGTCGATCGCAATGCGGGCCGGACGCGAGATATACGGGATGCGGCGTTCTCGAGTTTTAGTTTTGCAATTGAAACGGAAATTGAGAGCGGAAAAGTGCATCTCGTTTCGCTGATGCACGGAATGCACCACTACTCGTAACGTATGTATGTCCGCACGTGGAGATATATTTCTGAATTAGTGTCCTCCGCATGTCGCGCTGCCGCCCCGATGGTAGGTAGATCGATGGTTCCGAATTATTTTCGTGGTAAGAGCGAGAGAGAAGGAAGGTATTTCCTATAAGTAAAAGTGTACCTACATACGCGGGGTTTTAAAGGTAAATTTCCCGCGATGACGCGGAAGTTTTGTGATCCATTTATCTGTACCTGCATCTATTCACATTCGCATCCGCGAGGGGGTACGTTGAAATTTCTCTACCGTGCTCTTTCGACACTTGATAAACTGATACAAATATATTTCAAGGATGACAGAAATTCTGCGTTCTCAGATTGCAGTAAATCCGTTCTTTATACTCGCTCGGATATTTCTTTGTGTTGCGCCTGCGATCGAAAGAGTCACATTAAAACGGTTCTGTCATGGGGTTCGCGAATTGAGTCACGTCAAAGGGAAAAATCTGACGTAGAACGGATGTTGATTGAGCGAGACTTCTGACAATATGTGTCATCGCGTTCGCAGCAACAGTTTGTCGAATAGGCTACGAGCTCGACATATCATCGTCGCTGTAGCAATGTGTACTATATACGATACGCGAAATGTCATATTTTTCACGGGTGAAAATACTGTCGCGAACATGTTAAACCGAATTAAAAATGACGAATCATCGCCCAATCAAATGTACGGAAAATTTTAGAAAAAAGTAATTGAATATACGATATAAAATAATATCACAAATGTGTTATTTATAATTAAAAATTCTGAGAAATATTTAAAAATTTGCATTACGTATTAACTATTAAATTGACAAGATATATCAATTTATTCGTAAAAACAAAATTTTTACGGAATTATGAATAATTTATTTCATAATTACATATTTATAATACTTATGTCGAGAGATTATTCACGCTTTCTGAACATTTTGCAAGTGGACATCTACTTTTATCATTAAAAATCTCAGAGTTTTGTCATTCGCGTTTCTTAGTCACGTATCAGAGCTGCGAGTTAGTTTTGCTAGTTAGATATACCGTGTGTATTGTCGACCGGAACTAACGAACCGCGTATCAAAGGGCAAAAGTAACCGTTGCGGATGCTGGAGACATTACGTCTGGTCCGAGTAGTCGCCAGAGAATGCATAAAGTTTCTTTATTCGCTGCCAGTTAGACGCATATGTATATGATGACCGTGAACGGAACGGCGCGATTTCGTGACTTTACGACGAGTGTTTTCGTTCAACGTTAAATTCTCGATGATACCCCTCTCGTCAGCTGTTGTGTTTTTTCTAGGCTAATAATTCCTTAAGTCTCTCCGCGTTAATCTGTTAATTATATAGAGTATCTTCACCGCGTGCGTTATTATCGGTAGAAGTTAAACACCAAGCTAAATTAAAACGATAAAACGTATAACGATGTAGACGTAATAAACGAAAATGGATAAAGAATTTTTATGATTTCGCGTCAAGTAATAATACTTGACGTTCCATTCCGCGGTCGAGACAGAGAAACAAAGGACTCGAAAGATTGTTTAGAAAAATATTATCGACGCACGCGATTCGGCTGACCGAGTTTTAAAAGAAAAACAATTCCGAATCGAAGCGAGTGGATGTTCCGGCAAAAATCGTTCCTTCTCGCGATAATCCCGTCACGTCGCCTGTATAAGACTCGGACAATAATCTACGTATCTATACGGGAATCGTCGAAGGATGATGGACCCACGGGCGAACCCTTTATCGCGACGGGGTCGAGGGATAGAAAATGGGAGATATATATCGCGCGGTAATTAATGAATGAAAGACCGCGGAAAGAAGGATCCGCGCGGAAACCGCCACACCACGCGACTTCGATCGTGTCGCGATGATAAGACGGGGAAAAAACGAATCGAAACGGATGGCGCGGTGACGATTATAGAGATTAGAGCGAGAGGAAAAAGTGTAGGAGAGACATCCACGGCGCTTTTTGCGTGCCACCAGACGAAGAGACGCCACGACGTCCCACATCCGAGACGTTACTATATACGAGCGATCCGCCGGTTCCCTCTCGTCCCCTTCCCCCTCCCCCCGCGTGGGGTGTCTCGCACCCCGTTGCTCTCCGTCCTGTCCCGCTTCCAATTCCAGCTCAGTTCTCTCTCCTCGATCTCTTGCCTTCTTCTCCACACCTATATCTCGTTATCCGTCGTCTCATACCCCTGCTTTCTCTCTCTCGCCTCGTTTCTCTCCCCTCCGATAACGCCTACGCAAATGCGTGTCGTTAACTCGCCAATAAAACCGCGATCGAACGAACGAGCGAATCTGCCGTACGATTACTCGGCTGAATCGAGAATCAGGGGATCGTTTGTCAGCATCAAGTCGTCGGAAAGAAACCACCGAGCTGATATCCCGCTTCTTCCGGAGGGGGAAAACTTTGAACCGCCGAGTAATCGTAATTTATGAGTCATGGTCGCTAGTAGCGTGCAGTACCCTGGTACTGTTTCATTGTCCCTTTACCTGCCTCCCCCCTATCTACCCCTTTTTGTGCACGTCAGGTGACGTAAGACACCAAATGAAAGCGCGTACTTGATCTATGCAAGAACTGAGAATTCGAAACGGAATTTCTTTCTTCTTTTTCTACTTGCGCAAATGTAGCAAACACGAAGCTGGATTCAAAATAGAACTGATTGAGTTTTCGATATTTTATAGTGAGTATGTAGGATGTATCCGAATTGTATCTTAAAAGTCGATTCTTCTTCGATCAAATTTAAATGAAATGGAGGTCATCGTTTGTGGCGAAGCTTTTCAATGTTTTGCATTAAAGTTCTTAGAAAGAGATTGCTAACCGCAATCTCTGCCCCTTTTATCTCTCGCATTCTTTTATCTTCAGCATAAAATTGTCTCTAAATTTCAAAGGTTTTCTAAAATCTCCTTCGTCGGAGGCGAGTCTGTATTGCGCGATAAGTTTCGACCGCGCGGCTTCTCTTTTCGACGGAAAAACGATAATCCTTCGTAAAATAATTCACGTTACATCGCGCAAGTAAAGGTTACGTTGTTAGCGCAATTGCTGCAAGTCACCGGTCGTGCCAAGAGTAAAAAAAAAAATTCCAATTCGTTACTGCTTACGAACGCAAACGTCTGAGAAACGATTAAATTCACTTAAGGGAGGAAATGTTGTTTTCGAAAACGGAATGCGGGAGAAAAATTTATTTCTCTAGCGCTGCGAGAAACAAACCACCGCGACGACGGAAGACGAGCATAATGGCCTCGTAAATTACGCTGCAAAGCGAAACAATATCGGCTGAGATCGCATGGCGGGGAGAAAAATGTAATTGAACTTATGCGGCGCGGAGAAACCACCTTGGTTGTAACCCCCTCCCTCCTCCTGCCCCCTCCGCGTTGAAACGTCGGCGTAAAAGGTCGGCATTTAATACCGCGGGTAAGTCTGAAAGCCATATGAAATTTGTATCAATTTTCACATACGCGACACTTCGCTTCATAAATCCACTTTTGCGGAACGCGCGCGGTCCCACTACCATTAGCATGCACAAACAGTGGATAAGGTTCCCTCGAAAATAACGAGCGTTCGTACGCGCACCGATCTACCGACCTTGGTAATTGATATTGCCACAATAATGCAATAAGAGGGCGAATAAAAAAGGAGCACGTAAAAAAAAATGAACCCCCTGTATACACACCTGTTCGGTATTGAAGACTTCGGAGAAAGACGCTCCGATTAAAACAATACAGCCGTCGGTGAAAAATTCATTTTTCACCGATGACTGTATTTTTTAGTTTTCACTCGCGGATGAAAAATCGCAAATTGATTATCAGCATTTATTATTCTGGTATGCCATTAAAGGAAGGAAAACAGGTTCGGGTTTTTTTTAATTATATAATAATAAATTGTGTGTGTGTGTGTGTGTGTAAATAAACTCTGGATATTCTGCAGGCTAAGACTTAAAGCGGAATTTTTGCCATTCTGTTGAATGCAAATGCAAAATTTAAATGTGTAACTATATATAAATTCTTTAAAATTTTTTCAATATGACATCAATATTTCACATTTGATCTGTCTTAATGTCACATTTGATTATTCGCCGTTATTTATTGGGATGCTTATCATTGCCAAATATATGCATTATTGTTTATCTATTTACAATTCATTCGAGTCCTGCGTGCAAATTGTTCTATATGTATATTACTGTTTACAGTGCATCTAATCAGACTGACTTTCAACGGTACTTAATTAAATGACGGCTTAATGAACTTGCGTAGGACCGAATTCGTATCAAGGCTTTTTCAAATGCTGCTCATTTCGAAATTACCGTGCTACATTATTAATGCGATGCGGTGAGATGGAAAACATGATAATGTTAATTATTAGTATGTTCTATATTTAGAACACTTCTTTCTGTCATTCTACATGTTTGATTTTGTAACGATTTATTACTTGATAAAATAACTGGACAAATATTCAAGAAAAAAGGTAAATTGATAATAAGAAGGAGTAGGTTGCGATTGTTAGTAGAATGTGCGCGTTATTATATCGGTATCGTATACTTTTTACGAATTGATAATGGTATCGCGTTGAAGCTCAAACGTGAACACCTGCTTTTGTACGATAATTATACCGCTGAAATCATTACTAGTTTACGATCGTATTTCGCCCATATACGATAACTGTAATTGTCGTTTCGACGAATAACGAACATTAAATTATTCGCCGGTGTGATTGAAAGATATATTCGTGTACCGCGTGTCCATTGTGACCTTTTGACAAAGAACAAATATCGTCCCAAATCTGGGCGGGATCGTCCCACGTGATATTGGCGTGGCAGCAAAATGTTTCGCATACGAGGAAACATAAACAGGAACGCGCGAGAGAATTAAGGTTGCGCTGTTTTCAAAAATGAGATTACACGTCCTGTGCAAGCGGATTTAACGAGAATGAGTGGTCGACACTCGGTATCGTGCCATCTGTAAACGAAGACGGATGCGAATTAAGGTCCACGCACGACATGTTTAATAATTAATATCATCCTCAAGGTCGAAGTATCGCGAATATCGTGATCATGTCGCGTCAGTTCATATTTGTCTTCGTTTACGCGGCTCTACTCGGAGGACCTAATAACGGGGCGTTCTTTAACAGTCGTGTTGTCCCTTGACAAACGTCGTTTTCTAATTGAGTTAACGATGCATCCGTGATACTTGTTTTTTAGCATGACCCGATTCGCATTCCGTTTTTGTATTTTACTTTGAATATATTTAGGAGAACTTCATCTAAATTAATTAACTATGATCTTCTATGCTTTCTCTAAATTTATTTTGTGATCTCAACATTCGCGTCCTTTTTTATTATGATATAGCAAGGAAGTAATGTATTTAATTTCTTTATTATAATTTTGTTATAGAGATAGCGATTTTCTTAGGTGAAAAGATGATTTCTTGTGCTCGAGATATCATGTGTAATCGGATCGATTTTTGAGTTACGGGACCTTATTAAACGCGTAGCAATTAATTTACATAATTTCCGCAATTACGATGGCCGCCAATTAACTAAAATCGGCTGTGTGCGACATTATTATCGTGTCTACCCCTATTGTTGATGCTCTCACCGAGTGAGCTCTTTGATAAATTTTGTGTTAATACACCAGAATATCAAGTTATATTTCCACATTCATACGTAGGTCAAATCGCAAAACATGAATGAGCGGGGCATCGTTTTTAGTCACAATTTTCTCCAATTACTTAACAATAACGGGATACGGAGTACAAGTAGATTACTGCAAAATTTTTATAATTTATCAGGCGTACGTCAGCAGAACATTGCTTATAGAAATACTTCAATTAGTCAATGAACGAGGAATCGAAAAAATAAATTCTCGGCGAAAAAGAAATGGAGCCTTTTGTATCAACTATTCTATCGCTCTCTTCATTTATCAAGGATCTTTTTGCGAAGATTTAATATTTTAATCTCGAAGACATTCTTCTGTCGCGTGGCATTTTCTCTATTGTGCCGAGAGGGGAGGGCAACCGAGGGAACATACCCGGAAGCGATGTTAAGAATTATCTCGCTTATCAGTAAATTGTTTGCGTTAAACTGTTATTATACACTGAAACTTCTCGTGCGATAATAATCAAGCGGGGACTTTCAAATGCTTTCATATCACCCCTCTGTATGAAGCCTACGTGGAGACAATACTATATTCATCGATTACAATCAGCTCGAATGGCGAGCGATCAGAATTAGCCGTAACTCGCGTTTAATCAAAGTTACTTTAATTGGGTAATTGTAGTTTTAGTAGGGGAAAAGAAAGTTCGGCTGCGTTTACCGAATGCGGTAAGAAAAATTCCTTATACTTTCTCCAACTCTAAAGCTCGACATTTTCTGCAATCGCGTTTTTTACAATTTCATAGCTAATTCATGTTTTGTGCAATTGCTAGATTCTCTTTTACGTTACTCAGATAAGTTTTTCCCTTAAAAGAAGTACTATTTGTATGAAGAGAGTTGCTAATAGAGCAGTCGATCTGAAAGTACATACAAATGAAGGAAAAGGAATGAATATATCAATGGATAATGAAATTAAAATATTTAATAACAGCAAACTAAGTGAAGAGAAGGTAGCATGAAATTTCTAATGACGCACGTAATTGGAAATGAGTTAATTGCTGTTTGTCACGGTACATATATAATTGTATATTCGCGTACGGTTTCGAATGCGTTTATATAAACGAGTTTTATCGGCGAGGAAACATTCTGCTGGAGACGTGTGCGTGTTTACTTTTACTCCTTTTTATATTTACATTTGTCCAGCATTTATTTATTAAATGTGCAGAGTTATGGAACATTTCTTTGTCTTTATTAGTAATTAAATAAGTTAAAAAATTAAATCAAAGTGTTATTTATCAAATCTTTTTATTGCACGTCGAAAAATTATTCTTCCAAATTAACGACGAAAACAGACTAGGAAATATCATCGCGTGCTACATAAATGTACGTCGATTTGTAGCGAGAGAAAAAAAACGTTTGCGCTCGAAATGTTCCATTGTAAGATTCGGAGAAGTTCACGAGAGAAAGGGAGAAAGAAAGATGGAGAGAGCGAAATTAATACGCGTTGCTCGGAAGATGCAACCTATTTATTCATTGATCGATAATAAACGAGTCTCGGAAAATAATCTCGACCCGGCGATATTTACGCCGGGGTTTTAAGCGGGTACGAGAACGAGAGAAATTCATTTTCGTATTCTAAAAACGCTCTTACGAGACGGCTTTTTACGACGTGTGTGCTACGTGATCGGTACGTTCAATCACGTCGAAGACCGACATTAACGAATCGACCGACGATGGAGAAGAAAGTATATTAAGATAAATAAGTGGAATTTTCGTGAAAAAACACACTTTTTGTTCTGTTCACATTTTCTTAGATAATCCACTTGTAAAGTTTTCCCAATATCATTAGCCGAAGAAGTTCTCGAAAAAATCTGAAATATATACAATTGAAAGTAAATTAAAATAACTCATGTCTTTTCTTAGAAATCGTACTCCCGATATTTTGCAAATAAAAGGACTTTGTTCCGTTTTTTAAGGAGAAATTTTGAAAGCTGGTCCTCTCCATTCCGAACAGGTTTGAATTTTCAAACTGTTTCAACGTTGTTTCAATGAATATTTACAATTACGCTGGATTTTCCTAATGCGTTTAGTTTAGATATTGTTTGAAGACTGTTTGATATCTATATGTAAATGCGCGCTTGTTTTCGTGATAAGGATTCTTTTGCAAGAGAGACCCGGGAGGGTTATAAAAGAGGGCCGAAGTCACAGTCGTATATAAATAATAGATTACATAGTCGCCTAGAACTAGAAGTTGGAATCAAATAATTTTCCGACCTGATGGCAAACTTTACGCAACGATCAAGGTCCATCGGTCACTTTATTACGTAACCCGGGCAAAACGCTCACGTTCGCCGTGTCGTCGTCGCCGTTTAGCAGCCGTCGTGCAGCCGTTTAGCGCTGAACGCGCGACCGAACGCGATATCGTTGAATATACGATATCGCGCAAATGTTGGACCGATTTACGGCATTGGATAAATGAAATTCAAAATTAGACCTGGGCTTTGAGCGACGGGACGTGGAGCACGGGGCGCCTTCAAAATTCATTCGACTGGAAACTTCGTTTCCCGACCTTTCCCCTTTGCCGGCGCGGCCGCGAGCGGAAAATCGAGTAGAGTCCGGGAAGAGCGTGGGCTAAACCTTTGGCCGGCTCTCGCACCGAGAGATGTCTCCGGGTGAAATAATAACACGACGCTGCAAATTGGCCGACGCGAATGGCGGTTGTTTCTCGCGTCGTTTTCGCCACATCGGCGAATAAATAAGCCGTGCGAATATCGATTTCGCACCAGATCGTCTCGTCGCGGAGGGCCTGTCAGGCCACTTATGGTCGTGCTACCAAACGAACGTGACCTTTCTATCACTCGTTAGGACGAGTCCTATTTCTTGCTCCCTCGTATAAGGGTAACTTTTTCGCGCCCCGTGTCGCGTAAAAATCGGCTGTATCTCATCGACGATCCGCCGCTTCCGGAAAGAACGCTTCGACAATGTCAAATTTGGCCGCGCTCGATCCAGTTAAAATCGGCTTAGCGTTGATTGCCGTACTTTGCGCTGCAAACTCGTTACAGGTTCATTAAAATTTTGTCGATAACTTATCGCACAAATCATTTTTGCTCCCCCCTCCCCCCTCCCGGTGCTCTTGATCATCCTTACATAAGTACACCCAGGCGCAAATGCCCTGACCTTTCAAGCAAATAATTAATAACTTGGGAATTATTAATAAAGCGGGGAAGGGAGCTGATTCGGAGCAAAGTGGAATTGCTAGTGTTTTCCTTTCTTTTCCCCGATAAGTTCATAATTCTTGAGCGTAATCACGCAAGAGATATGGTGTAATCTTAATTCTTTTCCAGACGTTTGTGCAGCGATCTTTAATTCTCTTCGCCGTACTTTTATGCTACTATCAGTCCTGGGTCTGCGCGGTAAACTGCGAGTAAGTGTCGCTTTTATAGATTTCTTTTCTTTTTCCTGGTATTGCTGGGAAAATCGGAATTGCGTAAGGGATTGCTGTGTTGTAGACTAGAACCCTATAACCCGGCGTGCCGAGGTTCACAGGCGAAGAGGCGACAGCTGATGCCCTTGCCTGTCATGCGCGCTCTTAACTGCGAGGAAGGAGACTGCAGGATCCCCAGGATGAAGTTTTTGATCGCGATTCTCGACGACGTAAGTAAAAGCTTTCGTTATTCGATCTGGCAAAGTTAGAACATTTGTAAATGAGAGAGAAAGAGAGAGCAGAGAGGAAAAATTTAATTTAACTACTTCTAAATTGACTGCTACTCCGATTTGATCAATCTGTTTCTTCTAATTTTTACATTAATATACAATATTTTAAAATAAAAATATAACTAGTCCGGTATTTTAAAGTTAGCTTTTTATAAAAATTTAATAAGGAAATTAAATTTGTTGGATATTAAAAAAAGTCTCGATCTCATTAATAATTCATTAGACAATTAAAATTAAATCCGAAAAATCCGATAAGTTAAAATTTTTAATTATAAATTCTCTCTTTCTCACCTTTGTTTCTCGATTGAAGATTATTTAGGATATGAATTTTCCATTTATACTCGATAAATTTTAATAAGAATGATGCCTACAGATAATGACAATTAAATGAATTAAATTTTAGTTAAGGCAGAAACGAATTAAAAATTTTGACCGATACGCATTATGTTAAATAAAATTAATGGGCTTTTCTCGTTTATTTTATAGACTCCCTACAGGGACAATGAGATTCATTCCAACTCCGAATCCAACCATCCACGCAAGAGCAGGCTGCGGGAGGAGACGAAGGATATGTACATGGATGACTATTGATTCGGCGATCACTAAATTATGTCGACGCGATACGCAGAGATGACTGACCGATCGACAACTTTTCAGACATATTACTCGTCCGTTCGATTACCTTTTATTATATTATATTATATTACATCCGGCTTGATTCCACCCGTGTTTTCCCTGATATTATCATCTCTTTCTCTTTTTTCTCGTTTTCCCGCAATTCTGACAGCGAAGTACGTGCGTGTACGCATATATTGTTAGCACTCTGACTTTTCGATAATAAACATTTGAATCGCACAACAGATCGAAGAGGCCAATTTTACCGTCTCGAAGAATCTTGTAGAAAAGTAATTATAACATCCGCACGTGAAATAATTACGATTTTCTTCGCGTTAACTTCTTTCAAGCACCTCGTTGTATTCTTAAATGTGAAATGTAGAAGAAAGCTTTAAAGTAGTATCGGACGTTTTAATTTGATTTCACGGAAACTAATTAAGCGGGGAGTTCATATCAGTTGCTACTTAATTCTTGCTGTTTTACACGCGGTGTATTAATATTTAAATTTAAATTTAGCTCGTTCCCAGTGTACATCTATCAAAATAATTTGGAGACTGAACGAGATTAAATTACGAGCGTTAATAAATTAAACTATCCTTTCCCGATTGTTATTCTGCGAACATTTAATTCTCACGCTGGAAGGATCGAAGTCTGTAGTTAATTGTCCCTATAAACTTGTGCGCGAGGTGTGCATATAATGAAGATATTATAATTCGTGATCGGCCACAATCGAGTTTTATTGTATATAAAGAGATGTAAAACGATAATTATATATGTTGTTCCAAATTGTGTTTCAATTAACATTTCAAAATAAAGTATATGTACATACTTGATAAAAAAAGAAAAGAAGAAGGCTTGTTACGTATCATGCGTATATATATATTTTCAGTGCGGCAGCTAAACGTGTATTAATAATTGCATCGCACAACAACTAATAAACTTCGATCACGTCATCGATATATTTATTGCTGTGCAAATTGTGAATCTTTTTGAAGAAATGAAGCCTGCGCGCGATGTTATTACCATAATGTTGCTGATGATTGTCATTATTTTTCTGTATTAGTTACATTATTTTTGTCATCTTCTTTATATAGTAAATTAAAGGTTAATCAGATAGGAACTAAAAATATATACAGGATACTATAAGTAATAATGTAAAAGATTTCAAGGGGTGATTTCTATTACACAAATTGAAGACGAAAACTTCATATGACTTATTTTGTGTGAAACGGTTTAGTTTCAAAGATACAGAGTGTTAAAGTTGAAAAATTTCGCTTTTTCCAAAAATTTCGAAAACTACTCAGGTTATTTTAATAAAACTTCATATACAGTCATATATGAATTAAGTTTTCGTCTTGAATTTGTGTGGAGGAATCACCTCTTAAAATCTTTTACATTATTTAGTTATATTCATCCTGTGTATATATATTTGCAATATTTTATGAATTTATGCTCTTTAAACTTGAAGACTGAATTAGGATGTAATTTATATATATATCCATCATTTACTTTTTACGAAAAGTAATTATGAAATATATATATAATTATTTTCTCCTAAACTTAAAATATCTTTTTATCAAAACAGTGGAAGCATTTTTATAAGATAATTTTTTCGGTAAATGGAATTATTTTTTGCGAAATTATAAGGAGCTTGCAATTTTCATTTGCTGTGAAAGTTGTGAATTTTTTTGAAGAAATGAAACTTTTATTATGATGGTGCTAAGGCGCGACTATCATTATTATTTTTCTATAAATTATAACATTTTATACTATTTTTTTTTAATTAAAGATTAATTGAATAGAAACCTATTTTAAAATATAAAATAAATTACGTAATTCAAATTTCAAAATAGATGCGCGATCACCACGAATTTCACACTTTACATGTAAGATGTCAGGCAATGTCAGGTCGAGAGGTTGCGTCCAAGCATCCCACATGTGTTCTATCTAACCTCAAAATTTTAACGAAGGGAGGAATGTACAATACAATATAACCTCTTTAACCTCCACCAATCCGTAAAAAGCAAATAAAAAGTGAAAAAAAGGATCTACGAAATTTGTAGTGAGTCTCAAACTTTGACAGACGCGAATCATTCACGGCAATTCACGGTGAAATTCTACAACGAATAACATCCTTACGCTCGTCTTCCGCGATGAGCGTGTTCGTGCGGAGGATGGGTCGCCTGCGGTTCGCGTACCCGGTGCTGTTAAGATTCGGCTCGGACAACAGCAATTACCCGCGCCGGGTGCTCGGCGCACCACTGCATCGTGAGCATAACACCCGGAGCGCGGCATTGAACGATCTGACGAAGGTCGAGAGGCTCGATTTCGTCGCCGCCAACAAGAACGATGTCGACGACGTCGCGCAGCAACCGGAGAAGATCCGGGAAAATGACTTTGCCCACAATCTCTTTCTGAACTCGCGGAAATATGCGAGTATCGTGATGCAGCCGAACAAGACGTATGCCTGTGTCACGAACGAGGAAGCGCTGGAAATCCTGAACCGGGATTGGAGCTTGATGACGGGCGCCGAAACGGTGTCCGCCGTCAAGAAGCTGTCCTATAACATTCGTCACAACGCCGACAAGAAGGTCAAGTCGATCGAGCCTCTCAAATACATGCGGGCCTTCGATACGCTGAATATGAAAAAGCTGACCGACGATGAACTGATGACGATGATGTACCACTTGGTGCCGTTCAACGGTAAAAGTCCAGTGAAGAAGTTCGATTTCTACAGCAATCTCTGCACTAGGATAGACAGAGAGTGCATGTTACGTTCCTTGCGACTGTCCACAGACAAGACGCTGTATCTCTGTGACATAATATATCAGATGACGCCCTTCACCCCAAAGCCATATTCTTCTCAATTCATATGGTATTCCATTAGATATTTAGGCAACAAACCTCAGAAGCTTAATCCTCAACACCTGATCCAGATTATGTTTTTTCTAAATATATATCGAAAGCCACCTATAAACATGTACGAGCTCGAGTACCGATTGGAGCAGTGTGTTGATGATTTGTCGATCAATGAGCTAGCTATAGCGGCGTTGGGTTTCTTCAAGACCAGAACGCAGATCAGGAGCACGGATTTCCTGAATCGTATCATCCAGAGGACCATAGCCGAAATAGATGTGGTGAATACCGTGAGCATCGCAGCGATTGTAAAATTAGTACGGTAAGATAGAATTTGTTGTGCTGATTTGCAAACATCTCGATTTCATCTTGGATACTCCACTTCTAGATTCAGCATGCATCTCACAGAGACAAGTCCGCTTCTGGTCCTATTAAAAGCACTGACGCCGTATGAACCGCGTTATACGCTGATGACTCTGGCGCACATCGCGCAAGCATGTGGCCGAATCGCCGTACACAACAAAATGTTTATAAGCCGAATAATCGGAAGGTAAATTTTAATTTTATTTTATTTTTACCTATAACACGCCATTAATATTTTGTGATTGCCATTGATATTTGCGATGCTTATGACTGATTGAATTTCAGATTAAATAAGGAATTAAAGACCGCGAGATTGAAGGACCTTGAAAGATTACTTTACACCTTCTGTATTCTTAATATCAATTCGAGCATCTACGAGAACGTCGTCGAGGAATTGAAAGACACTTGGGATACTACTCGAGCGTGCGAGATAGAAAAGTAATTATCTTACGATAACAATTTTTAAAGTTGCATTATTTAAACCACAAATCATATTCTTCGTTTTTTTTACTTCTTAAAAAAAGAAGAGAGTTGTCCTATTTTTCAAAGATATTTACGAGATTTTCCCGTGGCAGGTATCCATACGCAGCTTCACGTATTCTAGGGTATTTGGCGACGCAAAATGTATTTCCCATGGATCTAATGAAACGCATTATGGCGCCCGAATACGTGAGCAAGACATGCCGTAGCAATTATTTCCCGCGTGAATACCTCGTACTTAATAATAGCCTTCTATTAGAAGCACCCTCGTACGATGGTCCATTCCTTAAATCCGATTTAAAACTTTTGCTGGAGAAGGTACGCAAAGAGAAATGAAACGCTTATAATCGAATTGCTCGCCATACAAACACACATAACGTTCGACGAAAAATAATAATTAATATTAATATATATATTAATTAATTTTGTATAATTACAGAAAGATGACGAGATATTTCGGAAGACTGGCTTGGAGAAATCGAATAGGGGGAATTTGCTTTTCTCGGACGTGCTAGAAACATGTCAGGTACATACATACATATATATCATCGTACAACAGCTAATCTTATTCTTTTGTGTATATTATCTCGTAAAGCATTTCTACCTTTAACAGAAGTTGTTCAACACCACAACGGATATATCGGCCATTCGTCCGTTACCGCACTTTATGACGCAGGACATTGTCTTCTGCTTAAACGAGCAGAACCAACTTGTGCCATCAGAACATTTCCTATCGCAGTTTGAACCAAATGAGATCAAATATGTGAACAAGGAAAAATCGAATAACGTCAAGTGGATCGTCCTCGTCATAGGTCATCATGGATTAATAATAAGGAATCTTCGTGGATCCTTTCCTACTGGACCCTTAGCTGCGAAAATGCGGCAGTTGTCCATAATTGGTTACACGCCAATCATGGTAAGTTTTGTAGAAAATAAATATATTAATTTATGCTAGAAACAGCAATGCAAAAATGCAAAGCGTTATTTTTATAATTTTCCGAACGTTGATATAAGTCTCGAATTAAAAAAAAAAAATTGATTTTACAAATTGATTCTACGTTGATCAAATTCTATTATAACAGTGATTCTATTTCTTTTTTCATCGTCATGATATAGTTATGGTACAAATACTATGATGTGCAATTTAACTAACTATAATTGGCGCATTTTAAAAATTAAATCTTAGTACTTTTAATTAGAATGATTTAAGTAACGCAATTTGCGTGCGTTAATTATAATAATAGGTAACGCAAGAGGGAAAATTTTAATTTTTTGCAGATATCACATATCTCTTGGGACGCGCAAAAATCACCGGAGAAGAAACGTGATTACATCCAAGAACTTGTTTCGAGATAACGCGGCAGAACTGTTCAATAGCGCGCAAAACACATTGCAGAGAGAAATCTCATATACCTTTTATTAGGAAAAATATTTCTTGTAACTGCTATTATTGTCGATGTATATACATACCATCATTCTCTCATATTTACAGATATAGACATTGAATTCATGATTTTACACGTCTAAATAGCAAGTGTTTCGCGCGTAGGACATTTGCGCGGCAGGCGCTTTCACGAAAGAAAACGTGGAAAATGTTGAATGATCGATTTTAGAAATAATCGTACATTAGTTTCTTCGAGTATTCAACGGCGACGAACAGTGTCGCGGTCGCTGGTACCGTTCTGATTAAAGTCGGTGTCAATCCGTTGTACAGCGCGCGGGTACCTTCTCGCCGTGCGATATCCTTGAAGACTATCAAGGCGGGCGTTTTCAAATTCTGCACCTGATCCAAACGGAAGAGATATTTCATTACAAGAGACGAGAAATATAAAAGAAAACCGACGCATCTCTTTTAGTTCTTCAACGACGTTACCTGTACTCTACTTTTGACAACGTCGGCTGGAAATATCGCCAGCCAGAGCATCGCGCCACCGACCGCGCCGGCCACCATCGTCTTTTGCCAGCCGATGTCATCCCTATTCTGACCCTTCGCAGCTAGCAGCTCCCTCGTGGCCTCGTAGCCGCCGAAGAAGAAGAAATAGCCAGGCATTTCGCGGGCTATCGTCGACGAGAGGCCTGTGAACATGCCTCTCACACCTTGCTCCCTAAGGATCTGCCTCGTCAAACTCCACGGTCCTATGCAAGGCTTCTGAAAAATAACATGTCATCAAAATTACTATAGAAAATTTTTAAACAATTCGTTCATTCGAATTATTATTCACCGTGGACTTTGCCGTGGCGGTTACCGCTTGCGCCTGTTCGACCTCCCTCATAGCCTGCAACTTGCACTTTATCAATTCCGTCGGGCACAGCGTCAGCGAGGAAAAAAACGCGGCAAAGAAGCCGGCCGAGGCGTTGCTGAAAGAACTCAGTTCTTTCACGTTCTGTACACCTGTAAAAAAAAAAAAGATCAAGTGTTGGTTTAAATATAATTTGTATATTTATACATATATATTATATCTACATATATGTTAATATAATAACATCGTTGTAATTTATGATTTACCTGATAAATGAGCGATCGCCTTTTGACATCCGCCATATGCCGCGAACAATACCGAGTTCTCGGCAACATTGGCGACTACCGCCGGGATCGTTCCGGCGTACAAACCCCTTATGATACCGTCTGTCCTTAACGTGCGCAGAAAACAATTCACCATGCTTTTGTACATGGACGGGAAGGTCTGCATCTTTACCTTCACCGTGTCCAGTGGCTGGCCCACGTAGACAAGCGCTACACCGCCTATTAAAATAAAAATAGAATTTGCTTGCATATAAAAATAAGAGACTTCTCGTATCGAGTGTTTTTCAAGATGACCAAGACGTTTTCGTCGCGAAAATTATTAATCTACTGACAATAAGATATTTTTTCACGCTTGATACAGTTGAGGTACAGGTGAGAAAAATAAAAAAAAATGTAAAGAATATTATTTAAAAATAATTATTCTAGTGTCTATTCTTAACTTGTTTACATATAAATGCTGTAAATAATTAATACTCCGATATTAATTCTTTTAAAGATTTTATCAATAAGAATATTTATCAGTAAATAACATTTCTTGTGACAATGTTGGCGAATTAAAGATAAGACGGTTATAAATTTCTACTTTTCTTGACGAAATTCGGACAGTTTGCGAACGGCCAGTCACCGTACAAAAAAAATGTTAGATATATAATTTCCTAAATAATGTAAAGTATAGTTTTCATTCTTCAATCGTGGGACGTGTTATAAGAACGCGATCTCGTGCCAGTTAGAGTGATTAGAAATTGGACTTAATTGAGTTTATCAGTCAGGTATTTACGTGAAAGATAACGTTACATGACTGATACTATCATTATCTTCCCATCGAATCTACCACAGATAAATGTGTATATATATATATATTATTTATCTAAATATTAGAATATACAGTTTTGTGATAAACAGCGGATAAGCGTTGGGCAATCAGTGTTGGGCAACGTGACTATATGGACAACTGCAAGTTTTGCAACCAAATGATTTATTTTAAATGCATTAAAAATTCAAGTTTTACACACATATTTATTGACATAAAAAAATATTAACAAATTTAAGCTAGACAATCAAATGCTTCCTTCTAAGAAACAAAGATTTCAAAAATTTACACTTATTGCCTCGAACTTTTCAATAATATTTTCATATTTTATAATTTTCCATTTTTACGTTTTTACACTTTTATAGTATAGACGATTTCTTTTGTTTTCAAGATTTCTCCGTGATTTTTTATTTTTCTCGACTTTTATTGTTAGCTATATAGGATTGTTGTTTTGCCGCGAGAGGAAAATTCAGCTCCATAATAATGACGCAACTTTCACGTGCGCTCGAGTAAACTCCGATTTGATCGATGATCGACTTGTCAGCCGTTGTTAACATGAATATATAACAATCAAACTCTTTTTTAATACGCGGAAAGAAAGATGTTCGGATACGCGCGTCAATAAACGGAAAGATATCGGGGAAAAATATCGCGCGGCGCGAGACATTTACCGAGCGAACCGGCCACGAAATCGATCACGCCATCCTTGATGCTCCCGCGGCTGTTTTCCATCGGCACGTCTGCCGCCTCCACGCCGACGATGCTGCTCGTCGTCATCGTCTAGGCGAAAAATTCCTTTCGGCGTGACCACGTGCTTCGTGTCCCGGGCGATAAAACAGACGCGATCACCGCGATCGCCAGCCAGCCGCACGCAACGAGCGATACTGGCGATTTAAGTGTCGTAAGGCATTATATATATATATATATGTTTCTACATATCTCTATAGAAAGAAGCTCATATCGTCGGCCCGTCGAGTGTCGTTCACGTCTTGTCGTCAACAAGGCCAGGTGCGGCTCGAGAAAATCATCGACCCCATCGGAATCGGAAGTTCTCGGAAAGGGAGTTAATTGTCGCGTCTTTTGTTTTTATGCTTGGACGAGAAAAATTCATGCGCCTCTACATTTTAGAAAGATATACAGTACGTGTAATTAAGTACAGAGTAAAATGATACTGGCACTGGAATATTGTTACTCCCTACATACATATAATATAGCTTAAAAAATAAGAATCAGAATTTTTAAACACATAATGGGAAAGAAAGAGCGTGTTTCGTCGCGAAAGAATCTTGCTTTTTTAAAGCAACAGACGGAAAATCGTCCGCTGTGATTGCTATAGCATACGAAAAAGTGCAAGAAAAAATAGCGAGAGATTTTTATTAAGAATAGATGGATGGAACGCCTGGCAGGATACGCAGGCGGGTCGCCATGGAGACGAGGCAGGGCCGCGTCCCCGTGCGAGTAAAAGTCTCCAGGCGGCTGTGTCGGCCGAATCCCTAGACGGTGAGGCGGCGACGCGGACGATTTCGCGGCCGCGTCAGCGGAATCCCGACGCGATCCGCGATCGTTTTTTCATGCGGCACACACGGTTCCGCGAGAACCGGGTACGCACAACGACGCGAGCGTCGCGACGCGAGAGGAGGAGGGAAGAAAAAAAAAATAATAAGAAATCGCCAAGGCGCGGATCGCGTTGCGGCCTGGTTCACGGGGGCAGTTCCGGACGAGACGCGGGGCCCCGCGGTTAGGCACGACGTCGCGACGACATCCCAAAACATGAATTCGCCTCGCGGCCGCGATTGACATCCGACCTCTGTCTCTCTCAGTCTCTCTCTCTCTCTCTCTCTCTCTATCTCCTACTTTTCCGTTTCATCACATCTTTCGGTTTCTCGCACGAGGAAGCGGAAGCGGGAGGTCGAAAGCGCGCCGCCGGAGACGCGGGCCGACGGCTCCGTCGCCGTCGTCGTTCGTTGGGTCGCGCCGAGTTGCGAGAGCGCAGCGCACGTTATAACAGGTATAACGAACAGAACGGAGAGTGAGCACCGTGCCGAGCGCACGTTCACGTTGCGTACGCACACACGCCTGAGAAGACGGGCCAGAGAGACGGGCACGGGCCACAGGGCTAGAGGGAAAGTGTATGCCGTGGGTCGCGTCGCATTGCAACGCACCGTGTTGCCGCGCCGCCGTTGTGCTGTGTGCTTTCATTGTGCCGCCGCCGTGATCGCATCGTGCCGTGGCGATCCTCCCGAGCCTCCTCGTACGGATACTGCCCAGCCATGATAGCTACCGCGAGCGCGTCTCCGCCGCGACGCGTGAGGCACGTCGCCGCGCCGCTCTAGCTTTAGGGGCCCAACCGACCACAAGATGCGAGAGGTCCGTTCTCGGGAGAGCATCCTCGCGGTAAGTAACGGCGTCGTCGACGGACGGACCGTCGTCGCCGTCGCTCGACGGCCACCCTATGTGTGTATGTGTGTGTGTACGTGTGTGCGTGAGTGTGTGCGTCCTGGAAAAAAAGAACATCGCACGGCCTCTGTTCCGTACGGCCTGGCCTTCCTCTTCCGCCCCCGCCATTTAATCCCGTGTTCTTGCGTACGGCGTTCCGCCGTCGTCGTCGTCGTCGTCGTCGTCATCCTCGCCCTAGGACGACGGTGAGACGCCGCGAGAGAGAGAAAGAGAGGGACCGTTATGTCGACGCGCGTCTATAGGTACGCCTATAGGCCGCCCGCCACCGCCGTTGTGTCGTGTCCCGGTCGATACGAAGGGACCCGACGAGGCTCGTCCCGTCCGTGGCGCTGACTTCCGAGGGGGGGAGGGGGGGGGAGAACACAACCCCGATGCTCCGAATACTCTGATGGCGAGACGACGCTGCCGCCGCGACGTCGCGTCTCACGGGGCTCGTTCGGGAGACGGCGTGTTTATTGAGGAACCCGTCCGCGACGGTATCGGGGCTCGGACATCGGGTCGGGGCCCGCTTCCACCTTCGACGGGCGGCTCCTCGTTTCGACCTGGGCTTGGTTTGCCCTCCGGGTTCAGGTTCAGGGTCAGGTTCAGGTCGCGGTGGGATGCGAGGACGTTCCCGTTGTCGTCGTGAAACGTCGCGGAAAAAGGAATCGGGCGTGTGCGTTTAAAAGGGCGGAGGACAGGGGCCGGGGGAAGAAAGGGTAGAGGGAGGGTGGGAGGGAGGAGGGGAGAGTAGACAGGGTTGAGTGTTGACCGTGCCGAGCAGTGTTTTTGACACCTGAGTAACAGCTGAGTAGGCTACGTTAAGTGAAGCGCGATGCTGTCGGACGGCGCGGAGCGTAATCCCTTTGAGAAACGTCGCTAGATCTCCCTAGGCGTAGACGGGAACCGTCGGTCGCGGGAAACTGGACAATGCCCGTATATTCGTGCATGGCATGGCGTTGCGGATCCGTGTGTCCTACGTTTTCGTTCGCGTCCTACGTTAGCTACGTTTGCGGATCTATGGGAGCCGTTCGTAGGTCCGACGGCGTTTCCTCCCGAATTGGTCGGTTCGGTCGCTTCAGGAAAGCCGCGCGGGACAATAGCGCGATGCAACGCGCACCACCAAGCCCGCTGTCCCGATAGAATTTGATCTGAGGATACATTAACCTCCAATACATTGAAAAGAGATACACTAAGGATACGTTAAACGTACGTTAACCTAAATCTTTTGGGAAAACCTGTTAATCCGCAGCTGAATTAGAGAAGGGAGAAGAATCTCTTCTCGCAGAAGTGTCCTCTTTTTTTTTTATTTCTTTTCCCTTCACGTTCCACCTCATTGTCTGTCCAGTGAAAGTCAGCGTCGCAGAATGGTGGTGGATTACTGCTTGCCGATTCAGACCTCAGCAACTGCAGTGAGAAAGCAGGAGCGAAGGTTAGGTGGCACGGTGGGTGCAAAGATGCAACCCAACAGTGGTGGAGGATGTGGAATGACACCCAAAGAGCTCTCCGACAATGACGACTTGGCTACATCCCTCGTGCTGGATCCCTATTTAGGATTTACCACCCACAAGATGAATATCAGGTACCATTGCGTTCGACCGAAACCGATGTGCGAACGTGCAAAGTCATTTGTACAAATTGTTTGCTAAAATTCCATTCCGTTCGACAGGTACAGACCGTTAAAGGCGAACAAGGAGGATCTCCGAAAGATTATTTGCGAATTTATTCAAAATCAAAATTATGAGAAGGCATACAAGAAGTTGATGGGTGGAGACTGGGGCGCACGGCTGCCTCACACAAAGTCCAAGCAGCAGCAAATCAATCTGGAGAATCACGTAAGTTATAGAGTGCAGTTGCAGTGACAACCGCTTTACAATCAGATTCTGTCTTATTTTAACACGAAACTTGCATTGCTTTTTTGATACAAGAAAAATAAACTGTGTGTGTGTGTGTAATAGTTACTTTCTTTTACAGATCAAGCGATATCTACGAGTTTTCGACAAGGATTCTGGCTTTGCCATAGAGCCGTGTTACAGATACAGCCTGGAGGGACAAAAGGGTGCAAAGATATGCGCTACCAAAAAATGGATGAAGCACGACAAAATTTCCTGCCTCGTCGGTTGCATAGCGGAGCTGAGTGAAAAGGTTTGAGTTTTCGAAAGTGTATAAAGAAGGAAATTTTAATTCGAGTGATTTTTTACATTTTTTTTTTATCTCTATTACTGATACACATCTTTACTTTTGCTTACAGGAGGAAGCGGCGTTGCTGCATCCTGGGAAAAATGACTTCTCTGTGATGTTTAGTTGTCGGAAGAATTGCGCCCAATTATGGTTGGGACCGGCCGCATACATAAACCATGACTGTAGAGCGAACTGCAAGGTAAAGTAATGGACGTCCGAAATTCGATCGCGTGGTTGCGTAAGAATTATTACGTAAATGCAAGAGTATTATTCTCGCAGTTTGTGGCGACGGGAAGAGACACGGCGTGTGTCAAGGTGTTGCGCGATATCGAGGTGGGTGAGGAAATCACATGCTTCTATGGAGAGGATTTCTTCGGCGATAGCAACTGTTACTGCGAGTGCGAGACCTGCGAGAGGCGAGGAACCGGCGCTTTCGCGAGCCAAAAGCCGGGCGAGGAGATGTCGTCTGGTATGCCACGCGCCATATTTTTAGGACAGTTACTTCTATTTTTTTCTATTTTCTATTTTTCAGGCTATCGTCTGAGAGAAACAGATAATCGAATCAATCGAACTAAGCATCGGCAGCAGCCATTGAACAGGAATAAACAGCAAGCCGATACTGCCCTCACCGAGCGAAACGCGGTCCTGGTCGGAAATACGGCCGTCGCGCCGCAATCTCTCAGTATGAAGGAGTTGCGACGCAAAGGACTCACCAAGTACGATGCCGAGTTATTGATCGCGCAGGGCTGCCGTTTCTCGGATATCAACAATCAGCAGCCGACGATCAACAACGGCGAGAATATGCTGCAGACTCGACCGCATCCCTCCGCGATCGCGACTTCCGTCACGAGGAGTCTCCGTAACAAACAATTGTGCAAGTTTGACGGCAATACCGGTGACGGAAGTGCCATCAAGAATACTCAATCGCTCAGAGCGTCCAGGTAACTTATTTAAGCTCCTTTTTTTTTTGTGCGAACAGATGTTCTACTTTTATCTATTTTTAAATTAATCTTTAACTTTGACTTGTCGTAGACTTCACAAGAGAACGGAATCGAAGAAAGGAAAGGTCGGTGTGAAGTCCGCGTCGCCCTGTCTCAGCAATCCCGTTGTGAAAGACACGGAAGTGGCGGATATCGGTCATCGAAAGGAGGATTCCGATAGAGTACCGGTGCACAAGGAGAATTTGTATTCGCGATTGCAAAAGCATCGTCCGACAAACGCGTCGCAGGTGGATCACGATTTCCGCATGGAACAACCACGACAGCGTACCGTGGCGGCGGGATCAAACGAAGACGCTTGCCCGCTGCGACTGACGGAGATGGAAGACACCGGTGAATCGAACGGCGATAGTGACTTGGTGGAGGACGAACGGGGAATACCGGATCTCACCGCGGAAGTCGATTCTGAGACAGATAATATTAATTCTTCCAATTACAAAAAGGGACATTATAGTACAAACGTCTGTGATTCAATCCGATTAAGTTCTACATCTCAAGCCCATGTGCAACAACGCTTACATACCGTAGAATCGATTCCCGAGGATACGAACTGTCGCTCGAGGGACTATCATCATTCTTTGTCACCCGTGCGGCATAAGGAAGGCGAGAACGATCCTTCTTCTGGCGCGGACGAGCAGGCGAATTGCGTTAACAAACGTTCCAAGCCCCATGGCAAGCGGCTTTCCTCGACGGACGAGCAAGACGATCGCAAGACGCCGAACGAGGAGTCGTCTTACGAGGAGGACGATGACAATTCGCCGTCGCCACTGATCGAAGAGAAGAAAACGTTGCAGGTTAACTTTCGAGAGAACGACATCTTGCACGAGATGAGCTCTCGGTCGGATGACGAATGTTGCGATTTGAACTCTGCGAAAGTAATTGTGGTGCAGAAGTACGATGTGGAAAAAGAAGAGGAAAGTGAAGGCTGCGAGAGTCCGATCGCCGTCGACGTGTCGGCGGCGACTCGCTCGGACAGTGTCGAGTTTTGTAGATTGAGCTCCGAGGGAGTTGTGGAAGCGGAAGCGAATGGCGAAAACGTTTTCAAATGTTATAGTAATACAGTTTCGAATGAGGAGGAGGAGGAAGAGGAGGAGGAGGAGGAGGAGGAGGAAGAGGAAGAGGAAGAAGAGGAGGACATTGTGACGAAAAGTGATACGTACGTCGAGAGCGTCGAGTCTGGCGTCAGACCCGCGATGTTATGCGCAACGGAGATGGACTCCAGAATAAATATTATGGACGAAAATAACGCGATGGTCTTTAATAACGTACAGATTATGAACTATAATAGCGGTCTAACCAGCCATACGAATTTAGAAGACAATCACGATCCCGCGTTGATAAAGAGATCGACGTCCAGGCGGAAAGATCACGCTTTAGACGCGTTCTCGAAGTCGTCTCGCAAGTTGCAGAAGAAACTCTCGAGCGCCAAGTCCAAGTTCGGGATATTGTTGGAGGGTGTTCAGGAAGATTTGAAGAGTCACGGCAAGGGGAAGAGCAAGAACAAATCTATCAAGAGTCAAAGGAGGGATCGGCAGAGATCGGCGACAGCCGAGATAGGAGAGGCCGACGACGATTCGGGCATTCAGGGCGATATCTACGAGTTCAGCGAGAAGGAGAGCAATCTGGAAGATATCGGCATACTGTCCATAATAAGACGTGGCAAGCACGAATCTCGTCACGCGTCCTCCTCGATAGCGATGTCGCCTGTGCAGGAGATGCAGTGCAATGACGAGTACAATAAAGCTGAGCCACCGGTGCTGGTTCGAGAAGAACCGTGGCCTCCAACCGTGGCGCAGAGCGAACGTAGCGCGGAATCCAATAGCGATATTCAATCGAAAGGAAACTGTGATGCTGAAAGGAGCTTGGAGCGGTAAATATGCAATGAATATATCGTATATAAAATTATTTCTGTCACTTAAAACAAACGTGTGAACGAGATCTGTAATTTAGAAATGTATTTTAGAAGATTCTCTTTTCTAAGTCGAAATGGTAAATTGGAGGATTTGACCTCTTTCAGATTGACAGCCTACGAGAACAATGGCAGCACGCGAAAGTCAAGCACGACCCCGTCCGAGTGCCAATGGCGAACGAGCAATCCGAGCGACTGTCGAGTTTGTCCTGTCACGCCGGAGAGGACCGGCGGTCGGCTGAAGCTGACGTTACGTATGAAGCGATCGCCCGTGCTGGACGACATCGTCGAGTCCGGCACCAGCGGTATGAGCGAGGACAGCTACGAGCCGGAGTACGAGGTGTTGCGCGTCGAGGGATTGGAGAGGCGCAAACGCCGAAAGAAGCACAAGAGCAGAGATCGCGAGAGACGGCATAAGAAGTCGCGCGAATTGAACCTCGATCCACCGCCGCCGCCCATGAAAAGATTACGCTTGATTCTCGGGAACGAGACTCGCACCATCGATTTAACGCACTCTTAACAGCTATAATTCTACCTGCCGCCGCTCCTTCGACTTGCGCTCCCCCTCCCCTCCCCACCCTTCCATCGTCATGACGTGTAATATCGATTTCATTATGATATAGACTATCTTTTTAAACATAATTAAAAAATGAAAGATCATCCACAAAGTTAGGCCTCCTCGTCCTGCGACACGTGACAGCGAGTTCATGTCGAACTTGAAGATAGTTTTCACGATTAAACTTGATTTAGTGGTAGAAACTAGCATCGTTACATTTTCTGCCTATCTTTGTATCTTTCATCTCTCTATTTTTCTCTCTATCTCTGTCTTGTAGTCACCGTTATTTAAATCTTATCTGTCTTATTCTTGTAACAACAACGAATCTCTGAGGGCCTATCGTAAGTGAGAAAATGCGTAGGTAAAGTTTTAGATCGTGCGCGCACACGTTTCATCCATGTAGAGTTAAATATCGCGTACAAGTCGGTGTCATGGTACGTGTGAATATTTTATCCGGGCATACAGTTCCATAGAGATTAACGAAGTGCTCTAGCATAACTAAAGATGTAATTCCACTTAGTGATTCAATTGGAGCCAAACTGATATTATTATTTTTCGAAAGTTTCGCCCTCTTTAATCAAGAATATCTTTAATCTGATTCCCAAATAAGATGATTTTTGAAAAATTTCTCTTTCTTCCCGCACTTCTTTTTCTCTGGCTAACCGTTTCTTGACAGACTATATCTTGACAAATATATGTAACAGATTGCGTCGATCTTGTACTTCATGAGACAACGTCAAATTAAATCTTCTAAATTGTATCTCAGTAGAATCGTTTTGTAATGAAATTTATTATTGCTGCTTTCCATGGTATTCCGAAATGGAAAAAAAAGGACGAAGGAGGAGGAGGATCCCTATGTATAATAATGATTATCTAACTGATAATTAAAAAAAAATTTAGCTAAATATTAGTTAGCACTTATAATCGCTATTCTCGAACGAAGGGTCAAAAATATCATGTGGAGAACCTTGTAAATATTGCTTATACATATATTATAAGTTTATATATATATATTTCGGTGTATTAAACAATGTCTTTCGATGCGAGTCGCAGGCAGGCACCGCATTGCATATACCATTGTATACGGAATACACCGAGGTCACAATATTGTAGTAACGAAATAAGAACGAGGGTTTCATTCGCGGCAACGTTTTTCGTTATATTACGTGCCGTTAGAAAAATCAGAATGTTCACATAGTAAACGAGGGGACAAAATGCATGCTTGCGCATAAGAGATCATCATCTGTTCCACATCGTTTCTGTTCATCGAAAGTATGATACGTGAGGACTGGAAAAACAAAAACTTGTATTATTTGAAATTTGTTAAATCAGCGCAATTTTATTCTGTATCAGATAAACTATCAGATATTTTTTTTAATTCAATAACGAAAAAAAATGCGAGCTTTGCTTCTGTCAAGTTGGAAAGAAAGTAATATCGTTATTTTAAAAGTTTCAGAGTCAAGAGACTAATCTTTTTTAGATAATTCAATCGGAGATTGATCTCCGGTGTTTAAGAAAAATCGTTACAAAGCAGTATTACTTCATTTCCAATCCGATATCCAATTTTTCACGTTGCTAGAACACTCACCATAGAGATCACTGAAATTTTCAAAATCAGAAATGTGATATTGCATAAGTTCGGAAAGAGTTTCGTATGAAATAAAAGTTCTACGACGCACGTGCGATACTTGTTCATTAGAGTTAAAATTCTTTTACTGGATTTTACTGGACGAATGGGCCGTTACTGTCCAATGCTATTAATGCCAATGTCATTTGGTATTTTTAATATGTGAATTAACATAAAATGATACAAAGAAATTAAATAATAAAAGAGAAAATTATCGTTACGCACTGAGCGAGCTACAGGGAATTGTAAGAAATGATTTCGCTTTGTGCTGTATATAACGATGAAAAATTCGTACTGCAGAAAACAATAGATTATACGGTTCATTAATTTTTTTTTTCGAAGAAAATTGCTCGCACGTAAAACACATGGGCACACAGAATTATAGAAAAATCATTTGTACATTGATTATTTATTGCACATTTACAATAATAGATTAGTTGTACGAAGATGAAAGTGCGGGATAATAAAATTAATTTAAATTTAATATTAATATTTTAATTAATGTTAATCTAAATTATTGCACTCTTCATTAATGTTATTTACTATTTCGCCAAATCTTTGCATGAGCAATTCTCGCCGAATTGAGTCCTTTTCACCAGCAAAAAGTGCAACTATAGTTGTGATATTCATAAATCCTATAAAGAAGATGTTAATCTTACTCCTCTTTCCCCCACACGTTATATAAATATATATCAGGATAATAAATTTAAAAAAACAAATTAATTCATTCATAATGTTTTTAATGGACAGCATTTTTAGGATTGATTGCACCGTAAAAAAATTAATAACTAGCAATTGCTTAGCTCATTCCAAATCTCTATGTAGAAAGAAAATTTAATTGGAAAATAAATTGAGGAGCATTAACCGATAGCAGCTGATAACAATTTTAATTAACAATAGGAGATTTGGTGCATTCGAGTAATTAATAATTAACAAGCGATTGATCGTAATTGATAAGTCAGTTAATTAAATAGAAAGAAATGTGTTCACACGAAACTGTCTGATTCTCGTCTAAAAAAAATAATTATTTATATTATATGTAATTGATTTTCTATTATTAAAACTGATGTGTGTGAAAGAGGATCCTGTTTTTAATTTTTAATATCATTTCAAGATCACTTGAAATTAAAGGGGTCTAAAAATATGTAACATGAATTTGTAAATGAGACTATATCTAATCACTTAAGAAGCGCGATATAATATATAATTCAATAACTGTTTGCCGATACAGCTTGACCGTAATCATAATGGTTCGTCAACGCTGCATGATCGTAGCGGCCCATTTCGAGATATTTCGTATGAGAAGCGAACGAGGGAAGATCCATTCGATTTTCCCTTTATTCGCGATTTGCATGCGATTGTGCAACGAGTCTCGCAATCGACTCGAAACGTTTTTTTTTTTTAAGTTATGGGAGAGAAAAGACGAAGGAGAAAAGGGAACAGATATGAAAGGAGAAAATTTCTCGAATTTCTTCTTTTATTCGCAACAAAAGTTTTGCATCGCAACATTTTATTTCTCATCATTCAGCGATATCATTTTGTTTTCTGCAATCCGTCGCACGCAACGCTTCCTCTCCTCCCCCCCTCTTCCCACCTCATTCGTTATCGGCAGAATTTTTGTCTCACTGCCATTAGGAGAATGATGTTAATTCGTACGTTTCGATTAATCGCTCGCGAGAGTAAGGCGTGTAAGAAGAGTCGCATAAAAAAGTCGCATCCCCTGCGCTGCAAATAATCATTGTTATAGGCGAATTTCGTATAATATGAATCGTTGCGAATCGAGGAGGACGATATTTTGTGAGTCTCTCCTCCGAGAACCGCCCAGCGAGGAAGAAAGATGAAAAAAAAGGAGGGAAGCAGATGAAGTTTTTTTTTCTCTCGTAGAAGACTCGCAGCCGCGCGCGGCGCGTACATTGTAATTATACATATTATCTTATTTGTTGAGCGACAGATATATAGAAATGTACATTGTCATTATTATTTTCTACGGATTAAGGAATCATAATAAATGAATCGCATAACGTAATTATGTCTCTTCAGTCATTTCAGGCTCTATTTTTCCGCTGTAGTTTTTGTTCTTTTCAAAATGATTAAATGAAAGATTGCGTCTAATTATCAGCTCAAATTTTACATTCTTTATATCTTGATCTTTCTCGAAATATGTTCAAATTTTGCGCCTTACAGGATGAAGTAAACAGTAACTTTATTGATGATTGGTAAAATTAAATTAAATTGTGGTTCATATCATTTACTGTAAAGTTACATAGTTAAAAAAAATCATACATTAACACGTATCAAATTGTTACTAAAAATAATTATGATTTTTTAACTGTATAACTTAAACACAGTAAATGATACGAACCACAATTTAATTTAATTTCACGAGTCATCAATAAATTTTTATTAATTCTTAGTTTCTCTTATTTTGTCTATAAATACATATATTACTATTTAAACTATATTACTGACTGAAATTATACATGTCTAAAATACAATGTCTAAAAGATTCTAAATAAGACATTTTAAGACATCTTAAAATAGTTTCAAAGACGTCATAAATCGGGACTTAAAATATTTTTTTAAAATATACAAATGTCTTTGTGAAAATTCCATGAGACACTTATGTAATTTGAAGATATCTCTTGGACGATTTTATGATGTGTCCTAATGTTCTCTAGGGATGCTCGGACAATAAATTTTGCTCGAAATTAGACTCGATCAATCGAGTCATCGATAAGTTTGACGCCACTTTATACGGTGTTCGCCTCATTTTATCGCCTGTTATATTAGTGGTCCGGCTGGAGAAGTGATAAATAACGTTTACTCAAGGGGATACTAACAATGTACCGTCATCTACTAAAATACACGGCTCTCGCACGGCTTTCCGGAAAGTCGATACAGTTCGACCAACTTTTCCTCTATTATTGCGAAGCGCGCGAACAGCGAAGAGAGCCGACAGGACTCATTCGCGAGAATTGACTGCTCATCAGATAGAGAATAAACCCGTGTATGCATTCCGCGCGCGCATTCTGCGGGCGCGGATGCTGCGGAGCGGAATTTTAACGCGACTTCCGGACCTCTCTCTCTCTCTCTTTCTCTCTCGCGGTCGATTAAACGGGAACGCGTTACACGCATCGCCTAGTAAATAGCAATCGCGTGTATAACGTCGCGAACACGTCGGGAATGCTTTCCAAGAATTGTCGGCTGACGCATAAAACGCTGGGCGTTTGTACAACGTTGTATATAATTATCTAATTTCATTCTGCATAAGCAATCTCGCGGAAGGAAGGTGGTACATTTGTATCCATTTAAGTTTTTCCAAGTGGGAGCTTATCTTTCATCGCCTCGAGTTTATCTGCTTCAAGTTTTTCCGACGCGATTTAAAGGAAGTGACGTTCGAGAACCAATATCGCGATGCGAACTTTTACGAGAAAAGTAATAAGACACGGCTTCGATTTTCCTACGAGTAAGATCGATTCAAATTCGCTCACACAATCGACATGGCGAATTAATTTCCCTTTCCCCGTTTACGTTACTGCAGCTGATCAATCAGAATCCATTCGGTGTCAATCCCGCCAGAATCGTGGGAACGACGTATACGGGGCGCGATTAAAAACGCTTTCCAACCGCTCCTTTTGTCATCAGCACGGGGGATCGAAATGGGAATCACGCGAGGCTGGCTCGCCGTCCGCAGGAGAGGAGACAACGGCGAGACGAGGCGGCGCGTTTGCGCTTCGTCGTCGGATAATATTAAATCGTCGGCGTGTACGCCTATTATTGCGTGACGGTCGGTTACGGGCAACATCGCGCGAATGCCGCTGTGTTGACACGCACACATCTCGCCGGGTGTGACCTACATGATTCCATTATGCAGCGCAAGTATACCGCTGTAGATAGACAACGACGCGCGCAAAGAGGGTCGATCTCGCAGCGAGAGTCCCCTCCGCGTGGCGTTTAGCAGTCAGGGACGTTATCCGCCGACCGATCGTATATTTAGGGAAGACGCCGGAGGTAGACCGCACACTGCTGGACCGCGGTAGCTGCCGGATAGGAAGCGGTTACCGGGGGGAACTATTAGCAAATTCTCTCCGCGGCCGCACACACCGTCCGGCCCTAGAAATAATTGCTCTACCCTATGTTGAAATGTTGACGAACCCCATTGTCGAATGCCGTTCTCATGTTGAATTGATAGATCGATATAGTTAATCAAAATGAAACAGGTCGCATCGTTTGATAATGAATGCTGATATCAATATTTTTACACAGATTAGAGGCAGTGAAAATAACAACGCGGCAATTACTCGCATTGATTTTAATTAATTCATTTCGCGGAAATATTTTTCCTTTATCACCGGCAACGATACTTAATACTTTATATAATTTATAATATCTAATTGCAATTAATATACTCATTTTAATTCAACGATTGAAAATTTTCCTGATCGTCATACCGATCAATCAAATTCAATAATTATTGATATTTATTTGCTCAGTTTTTTTCACAGCGAATAGTGGCAGATCGACGTTGGTTGCGCGACAGTTCTTATTTTGTCGCGTGACCGTCGCACTGCCAATGTTCTTTTTTTTTATGGATAATATTTCTGTCCCCGCGACTTTACATAATATCGGGAGAAAAAGAGAGGACGCGTGGCAGAGAGTCGAAGAGTGACTTAAACTGTCCGTTATAGGTATATATGTATAAACTAATACTTCTTACAGTGTAATTTCGTGATCGATCGTATATGTATATCCTATAAAAATACGCATCCCTTATGTATACGCAGTAATGTACGCGATAACAATAATGTTGAGCGACTTTTCGCTACGTTTCATCCTAATTTCCCTGAGGCATAATGCGTGTGCTATTCTGCAAACAATTATCGTTTAATAAATTTTATCTGATAAAATTTTATTCGTGAAGTTTATATTAAATTCAATCTTCTGCGTTGTGTCTTATTACGATAATAATATTTTCCTAGTCCTCTCGGATCTGCCACAAATAGTTTGAGGCTGTTTGAATAAAACATTCGTTATTATTCACAAAATTGTTATTTAATGTGTAACGTTATATATATTATTATTTCAGTTATTGAAATAATAATTCAGTTATTATTTCTGTTAACAGTAATAATACCAATTATACAGCGACACTTCTTTGTTAACAGAATTTTTACTTAAAGATAGATGAATGCAATTCTTTTGGAACGTAGAAAGGTACGAAGTATTGACACGTGAGAAGAAATCAAAGCAACAAGCTTATCCGATTTTCGATCCCCCATTTAGCAAATAAATTCCACTCTCCTGTGTAACGCTAAACGACTGAATATGCACTCTTTAAACTGGATCGGACCCGAAGAAGCCAAACCTCGCAGAAAAACGTAAATGGTTATCTCTTATAACTTTATCTTTTTACGAAATTTACCGTACGTTAAACTCACTACGCTTTACGTGAACCACTGTCTGAAACAATAATTACACTTTTCACATTTTGAGAAAGTAAGATTATTCGTGTGCAATTGTAAAAAATAAAATTGTTAGTTATATGTGTAGGTATAGATACGTACAGAGAAATCTATAACGTATCTATAGATAATTTATATAATATTTAGTTACATTACGTAAAAAAATAAATTCATGTGCGTAAGAATTCTGTTATAGTTAATTTCTATATTGCCGCCGACATATGTATATCTGTTTGTACTAATTTTACTTTTGCCGTTCTCTCTTTTTCTCCCCATCGAAGGGAACAACTACGATAATCACGTTTCATTGCAAAGGGCGAGAGGATGATGCGCGATAAAGAGCGAGGCGTTCTTTGCTAAATCATCCGCTTCTGTGCCCCGCGAGCTACAGAGAGTAAACTCGACGGTCCCCCCTCACGCGACATGCGAAAGTGGGTCGACTGAAATAGGTCGAAAATAAATTTTTCCGCCGACCGTCGTCGTCGTCGTCGTCGTTCTGAGGAAGTATTTTCCTTACGCGAGTGGTCCGCCGATTCACGCATGTATCTTCCGTCTCCATTACTTATCTCGTTCTTCTTGTTCCAGCGCCAATTCCGCGCTCTAATTGATGAAAATCTCACGAGGGAAATACAGTCTTTTTTCTAAAAGGCTTGTTACTGAAAAAGTTCAAGAAAAAAGGACGTTTCTAGATGTCTCTGTTACTGCAAGAAATATCAAATTCATCATAGAAATTACAATGCAGCAGCGACAATAGTAATCTGATTTATACTGCAAAGAAAAATTTGCATTAATTATGTAATTTATATTAAGTTATATAACTTTGTAATTATGTAATCTATTCGCTCGAAGCTTACATCGCATTAGTATATAGTTATATATAAATATATCAATTGGAATGAATTTTGTAATAAATTTTTTTTTACTGATCTTGATATTTATACAGTTTAATAAATTAATCGCACATAAATAAAACAAAAGATGTAAATTAAAATTGTCTGGATGGAAAGATGACAAATTTCGAATCTGGGTTGCGCGAAAGAATATATGAATTAGTTTTACTACTGCGTTTGCGTCTGACTACGGACGATCACGTGCTACTGGCTACTCCCTATATGGTCCTTACCACTTGTCTGATTTTTACTGGCGATAACTACTGACATACCGACGACCCGAGGAAAGACATTGAGACGCAGACGTGAAACTAGCGAAGAGAGAAAGATATTACGTCGCGATTGTGAATTATTGTTGAGAACAACTTGAAAATAAATATCTTTGTAAATTTGACAAGTAAAATGCAAAGTGAGATACACTCCGTTTTCTCCAAGCGTCCCGCTTTAAATCCGTCACTGTTCCGACACGGGGGCTGGTGAAACACATTCACACGACCGCCACCCTCGCTACGAGTCGGCTATAGCGTTCGCACGCGCTCGCGTCGCCTCGCGGCGTCTCGCGCCGCGGACGGGAGCGGGAGTGGGCGTCGCGACGCCAGGCGTCGCTGGCGTCGTGCCGGCGGCATATCGTCCCGAGTGCGGAGAGCGTGGAGTGCCGTCGTGTGCCGTTGTCG